TGGTGCTTTCAAGACAACTGGGAACTTGGGAAAAAACGCGGTCAAATCATGACATCAGTGATCTTCAGGTCGGAAAGTCGGCGCTCTAGGAAGATGCCTGAGTTTCCAACTTAGAATTCCGGGTTGGATGACCCTTCAAACCAATTTTACCCCAGTCGGAGCTCGTCTTTTCCGAGTTCCCAGTTGTCTTGAATGCACTGAAGTCGGATATTTCCGAGTTCCCAGTTGTTCTGAACACGGCATTAGCTATAGCTCTACTGTTTAGATGCAATGCCAAAGCGACGTAGAGGGATGCGGTGCGCTGGCGTTCACGCCGACCGGGGCGGAAAAAACAGCACGACAGCGCTCTCACAAAACACATGTACGAGAATAACAACAGCGTATATCAACGAAAATAACTAAAACACAGACAAGAAAAGAGGACAGTTTCTGCTTAACATAAAATAGATGTATTACCTTTGGAATATAGGGATTTGGGGGAATTCAGGTCGAGATCCGCGCTGAGAAGAGATATAAAATCAGAGGGCATCGCAATGCCTCTGAAGAAGAGGGGAAATCGGACCCCCTCAGATGTGAACGTCGCTGAGCAAGCAAGCTAGAAATACATATTTCTCTGACACTGAATTAATGGTAAATAAATACTACTGACAACAAACAAAACTCTATTTGACATATAGGCTATGTATAGCTTGAACCAGTCGTTATTAGCCTGTGTAACACGCTTCTTTCTGACTCCGTTACATGCGTGTTCGTCAAATGTGTTCAGTTCGTCTATTTTCTGTACAGCCCCGCCCCCCCATGACGCAAACCCGTCATTCAAGATAAGACAGTAGCCACTGGACAATAATCTGTCACATGATTGTAGGCCTACAACTAGTCTGAAATTTGCATAATTGAAAGTGTAAAAACTCTAGGCCTACTCAAATAATAAGGGATCATTTCCATTCTTGCATTTGGTGATCTCCCCCTAATTTCAATGTAGTTCTAGGATAATGCACAAGCAAATGGTCCTGATGAGATTGTTCACAGCTTTTCTTTCTTTCTTTCTTTCTTTCTTTCTTTCTTTCTTTCTTTCTTTCTTTCGTTCGGGCATAGTGGATATAAGTCATGTAGGTGCATCCACTATTTCTGACGTGTTTTGTCATATATATGATATTATATTAGTAAACAAAGACTGTGGCACTGCAACTCCTATAACTTTAAAAAGTAACAGCACACAACTCCTTCTTGGGTATTATCGTGGACTTCAGGAAACAGCAGAGGGTGCACCCCTCCTATCCACATCGACGGGACCGCAGTGGAGAAGGTGGAAAGCTTCAAGTTCCTTGGCGTACACATCACTGACAAACAGAAATGGTCCACCCACGCAGACAGTGTGGTGAAGAAGGCGCAACAGAGCCTCTTCAACCTCAGGAGGCTGAAGAAATGTGGCTTAGCACCTAAAACCCTCACAAACTTTTACAGATGCACAATTGAGAGCATCCTGTCGGGCTGTATCACCGCCTGGTACTGCAACTGCACTGCCCGCAACCGCAGGGCTCTCCAGAGGGTGGTGCGGTCTGCCGAACACATTACCGGGGGCAAACTACCCGCCCTCCAGGACACCTACAGCACCCAATGTCACAGGAAGGCCAAAAAGATCATCAAGGACATCAACCACCCGAGCCACTGCCTGTTCACCCAGCTATCATCCAGAAGGCGAGGTCAGTACAGGTGCATCAAAGCTGGGACCAAGAGAATGAAAAACAGCTTCTATCCCAAGGCCATCAGACTGTTAAATAGCCATCACTAGCACATTAGAGGCTGCTGCTGCCTAATGAAATCACTGGCCACTTTAAGAAATGGAACACTAGTCACTTTAATAATGTTTACATATCTTGCACCACTCATCTCATATGTATATACTGTATTCTATAATATTCTACTGTATCTTAGTCCATGCCGCTCTGTCATTGCTTGTCCATATATGTATATATTCTTATTTCCATTCCTTACTTAGATGTGTGTGTATTGGGTATATGTTGTGAAATTGTTAGATATTACTTGTTAGATATTACTGCACTGTCGGCGCTAGAAGCACAAGCATTTCGCTACACCCACAATAGCATCTGCTAAACACGTGTATGTGACAAACAACATTTGATTTGATTTGATATTAGAGTATAATGAAGGATCAAGGTTCTATGATATGCATCTCATAAGGCCAAACTATCTGCTGCAATAAGAGGATTTTGATTCAGTGTGAGAAACTATTTGATTTGGCAGTTACATATTTTTCACTTATGCCACCTGTTGAAGTATGATAACTATCCGTTTAAATAGATATACAGACTTAAAATAAAAAATGAAAGCGTTTATAAAACACAATGGGCTTCTTGATGGAATGAATAATGATATGCTTATAAATCCTAACAATGGCCAAGAGCAAGGTTAACGCAGCAGCAAGGTAATTGCAGAAACCTGTTTGTTGATTGGGGCATGACTGTAACAATGCGTGAACTGCACTGTGCTGTAGATGTTGTGAGGTATGTGAGACGATTTTGTTATTCATGTCATATGAACCCTTTAGAAAGCCTGCAGGTTTGAAGATAGACATTATAGTGATGATTGGAGAATGGCACAGTACAAATCCCAACATCATTGGACATCAAATCAATCAAATCAAATTGTATTGCCAAATACAACAGGTGTAGACTTCACCGTGAAATGCTTACTTATGAGCCCATTCCCAACAACGCAGAGACCTAATCATATACCTAATCTCACCACTGCACTCACCACATACCTCCTAAAATAGCAATTCACATGCCATGGTCTAAATCCGCGTTTGATCATTACTTTCTCAGTGCATTGAGTTAATAAACAGCAAATGTTTCGTCAGTTGTTTCAAATTCACAAGTTCATTACTCTTTCTATAAAAAGAAAGGAGCACTGAAAAAGAAACTTCAAACGACCTGCAGCCTTAGTGTTTATGACCCTGTCCTTGGGATTTTATGCCTTTATTGTCCCTCTGATTCTGTTGATAACTAGGCCTCTCTGACCACCCTTCCCAATACTTTCTGTTCAGTGGTGACATCTTAATTTGTCACCTATGGTGGACACAAGAAAACGGTTAATCAAAAAAATAGTTTGACCAGTAGGCTACATTTGAAGTAAAATAGACAATACAGTAGGCCAGCGATAGAATAGCTCCCTGCCCAGCTTGTAACAACCTAACAACCTAAGGATTTATAAAGAGGGTTATAAGTAGTTTATAAACTGCTCATTATTAGTTTATAAAGGCACTACCCTAACTCCTCCATCACAAGAAGCCTCATCAACCTTAGTAGAAAACACCATACAACCAGAATTGTAAATATTATGTACCTTAGATAACACACCCAGGGTGAGGCCTGCATCCACACAGCATGTGGCAACTACTACTAACCTTGGATGAGCATGAGGGTAATGAAGTTACCAAGGGACGATTATTATTAACTCTGAAGAAATGCAAGAAGAGTTCACTATAAAGTGAAGCCCCAACTCTAAGAGCTATAGCTATAAACAATGGAAAATAAATTAGGATGCAATTTATTGATTGATTTGTCCACCAAGATGACTATATGTATGGTCATCATGAGCAACATTGAAAATAGGTGAAATGTCTCAATTCAAAAGGACTTTCATGCTAGAATCAAACTATGACGTGGGGGGGGGGGAGTTATTTATGCATTTACAGCCCTCTAGTGTTAAAACCAGGGACAGCCCAACCCATGGAGGAATCCATACAAAAAAAGCTTCAACTGCAACTTCGCAATGAATCTACACAAAGTATGTTCTCGACTCGTTTGGGTAAAAAAAAATAGCTTGCCAAATGCATTTATGATATTTCCCAAACCAACTTTTTTTTTTGAAAGGATACTCAAATGAATGCAAAATGCACGTTTGAATCCAAACGGAGCATTTTTTGCGCAGTTTGACAAATCGATCCACTTTGGCTCTTTGGTCACAAGACCCTACGCAAAGGATTGTGGGATTGTGGAGTTGTGGGATGGAAGTCAGGAAACGTATTACAGATCAGCTGGCTGTATATACGGCGGAGCTGATGGCCAAAGTGTGGGCCTTGCAGTGGGTGGAGGAAGTCAAACAAGACAGGGTAGTTATTTGCTCTGATTCATGTGCAGTGTTATTGAGTCTCCAGTCCTTTAGCTCACGTAGCAGACAATACCTGCTTTAAGAGGTGCTACAAACCCATGGCAGGATTAAACAGATGGGTATTCAGATAAGATTTACTTGGGTCCCAGCCCATGTGGGGGTGGAGGGGAGCGAGGCAGTAGATGAACAGGCTAAACAAGCACTTAGTAGTGGGGATGCTGATGTTGAAGTTTCAATGAGCAAGGCAGAGGCAAAAATACTGATATTTAAAGTGATGGTGCAGAAATGGCAGGAGCAGTGGAATAGAGATAATAAGGAAAGGCATTTATTTCAAGTACAGAGGAAAGTCGGGAGGGGAGGACGGCAGGAAGGGACAGAAGAGAGGAGGCTATTTTTTAAAACAAGATTAAGGGTGGGACACAGCCAGTTGAATAAGACATTAAATGTGATAGGAAAGCATCCAACAGGAAAGTGTGATTATTGTCAGGAAACAGAGACAGTGGAGCATGTATTGCTACAGTGTGGGCAGTATCAGAGGGAAAGAGAGAGGATGAGATCTAGTATGAGGGAGAAGGGGATACAGAAAATTAGTTTAAAGAGTATATTGAGTAGAACGTCATTAGATATAGTCTCACATATTTTGTTAACTTGTTTAAGAGCAACGGGGCTGGCAGGTAGGATTTCGTTTCTCCCTGTCTCTGGCCTACACTCCAGTACAGTAGGTGGCGGTAATGCACCATAACGTTGGATGCCAACCGCTGATAAACCCCACTGAAGAAGAAGGGATCGTGGAGCACTGACAGTGGTTGTGGTTGTTGTGCTCTATGGCGAAAATATTTAATATTTAATTCAATTCACACATAAACATGCCGGAGTTAGCTGTTGAAAAAGTTATTGTCCATCCCTTGGTGCTCCTGAGTGTGGTGGATCATTTTAACAGGTAAAGGATTCGAATGAGCTCGACAGTTGTTGATGATTGTTAAAAAATGTGGACTCATTGTTGTTTCCCAAATAACAGTACCGTTTAGATAGCTAACTAACGTTAGCGACTAGCTAGCGACAGTAAGTTAACGTTAGAGCAAGCAAGCTAACGTTATCTAACTAGCTACTGTGTAGCTAGATAGCTGATTCACCTCAGAAGGCTCGGATTCACCTGCTATCTAGTATAGCTAGTAGCTAGCTAGATACACAACATGTTCTCATATTACACAAATTGCAGGTTTCCTCTACGATTAGTGCATCGTTTTATGCACTTTATTAGCTATTGTAGCTAGATAATGTTAACCAGCTTGTAACGCGTTAGCGCCATCCGCTCTCTAGTCAGGGATGTCACTGTCACATGTCTGTAGCAAAGACAGTTCAGAAACCCCATGTCTGTAGCTAACAGCCTATTCTCATTCTGAATTTGATCAGAATCGGTAAAGTTGGAAGTCAGAAGAGGGTTGTGGGTGTACTACTCGGCTCATGGCATAAGAAGGTTCTTGATGTGTCCAACAGCTTTGCAGGTGAGTTTCCTAACGTTACCTCTTTCTATAACCACGGTCCATTCTTTGATAACACTCTGGTTTCTTGTTGATATGGCTGATCTCCCCCCTGCTCTTCTTACAGTGCCCTTTGACGAGGATGACAAGGATGATTCTGTGTGGTTCCTGGACCATGACTATTTGGAGAACATGTATAACATGTTCAAGAAAGTCAATGGTAAGAATGGAGTTCTTTGTAAATTAGTATGCATTTTAATAACACTAGATTTTACTCTACAATGTGATTGAACTTGAACATGTATTCCCATTGTTTCAGCAAGAGAAAGAATAGTTGGTTGGTATCACACAGGCCCCAAACTGCACAAGAATGACATTGCCATCAATGAACTCGTGAAGCAATATTGTACCAATTCTGTAAGTATAAGTACAACATTTTAGTTGAATTTAATACAAAACGTTGATGTAATTTTTTACTTAGCAATTAGCCAATTACTACTGATGTCACTGTAGTAAATATAATAATAAATATACTATGGTACAAAGATTTTAATTGGATTTTTTGGTCGTTTTAGGTTTTAGTCATCATTGATGTGAAACCGAAAGACCTGGGTCTACCAACAGAGGCCTACATATCTGTGGAGGAAGTGCATGATGTACGTTTTTATCAGTGGAATTATTGAAAGAATGTAATAGTGGAATTACAATTCTCTACTATTACCTCTGCAACAAAGGTTTATGCTGCATGTCAGTCTTACATCTACCACTAAGTAAAATCTAAAAATTGTAGGATTAGAAAGAATGTCACTGTAAAAATCAGTTTGTTATGTTGTGGAGCAACGGATGCCTTTTTGAGCTTTAATGTTGAGGAAAACGGATAACCTCGCTTGAGAAGAAGGTCTAATGGTTGGAACATTCCTTTTGTTTTTAGGATGGCACTCCCACATCCAAGACATTTGAACATGTCACCAGTGAGATTGGCGCTGAAGAAGCAGAGGAAGTGGGCGTGGAGCATTTACTCCGGTAAGACTGGACCCAAGCATGTGGTCAATGTGTATGTACTTGTTCCTTGTATTATTGCTCATAATTTTTTCATACCAGACCTGGGTTCAAATACAAGTACTTTTATTAGAGTATTTGAATGGTTATTTGTAAAAAACGAAATAGTCTAGCAAATTGTGTTTGAGACCATTTTCAAATACCTATTTCAAATACTATGTTCAAATACCAGAGTTAAGTGCATGGGTGTGTATTTGAGTCAGTGTATTTTAGTATTTTCAAATGCTTTCCAAGTGTATTTCTAAATATACTGAACAAAAATATAAACGCAACATGCAACAATTTCAAAGATTTTACTGAGTTACAGTTCATATAAGGAAATCAGTCAATTTAAATAAATAAATTAGGCCCTAATCTATGGATTTCACATGACTGGGAATACAGATATGCATCTGTTGGTCACAGATATCTTAAAAAAATAAAAAGTAGGGGTGTTGATCAGAAAACCAGTCAGTATCTGGTGTGACCACCATTTGCCTCATGCAGCGCGACACATCTCCTTCGCATAGAGTTTATCAGGCTGTTGATTGTGGCCTGTAGAATGTTTTCCCACTCCTCCAGCGAAGTTGCTAGATATTGGCGGGAACTGGAACACGCTGTTGTACATGTCGATCCAGAGCATCCCAAACATGCTCAATGGGTGACATGTCTGGTGAGTATGCAGGCCATGGAAGAACTGGGACATTTTCAGCTTCCAGGAATTCTGTACAGATTCTTGAGACATGGGGCCGTGCATTATCATGCTGAAAATGGCGGTGGATGAATGGCACGACAATGGGCCTCAGGATCTCGACACGGTTTCTCTGTGCATTCAAATTGCCAGCGATAAAAATTTTTCGTAGCTTATGCCTGCCCATACCATACCACCACCACCATAGGGCACTCTGTTCCCAATGTTGACATCAGCAAACCGCTCGCCCACACGACGCCATACATGTGGTCTGCGGTTGTGAGGCCGGTTGGACGTTGGAGGCGGCTTATGGTAGAGAAATGGACATTAAATTATCTGGCAACAGCTCTGGTGAACATCCCTGCAGTCAGCATGCCAATTGCACGCTCCCTCAACTTGAGACATCTGTGGCATTGTGTTGTGTGATAAAACTGCACATTTTAAAGTGGCCTTTTATTGTCCCCAGCAAAAGTGGCACCTGTGTAATGATCATGCCGTTTAATCAGCTTCTTGATATGCCACACCTGTCAGGTGGATGGATTATCTTGGCAAAGGATAAATGCTCACAAAGAGGGATGTAAACAAATTTGTGCCCTACATTTGAAAGAAAAAACTTTGTGCGTATGGAACATTTCTGGGATATTTTATTTCAGCTCATGAAACATGGGAGCAAAACTTTACATGTTGCGGTTATATTTTTGTTCAGTGTACACAAAAATATTCAACTACTTTTCAAATGAAATGTTTCTGAATACGTACTTTAAATGTACAGTACCAGTCAAAAGTTAGGACACACCTACTCATTCAAGGGTTTTTATTTATTTTTACATTGTAGAATAATAGTGAAGACATCAAAACTATGAAATAACACATATGGAATCATGTAGTAACCAAAAAAAGTGTTAAACAAATCAAAATATTTTATTTTTGAGATTCTTCAAATAGCCACCCTTTGCCTTGATGACAGCTTTGCACACTATTGGCATTATCTCAACCAGCTTCATCTGGAATGCTTTTCCAACAGTCTTGAAGGAGTTCCCACATGCTGAGCACTTGTTGGCTGCTTTTCCTTCACTCTGCGGTCCGACTCATCCTAAACCATCTCAATTGGGTTGAGGTCGGAGGATTGTGGAGGCCAGGTCATCTGATGCAGCGCTCCATCACCCTCCTTCTTGGTAAAATAGCACTTACACAGCCTGGAGGTGTGTTGGGTCATTGTCCTGTTGAAAAACAAATGATAGTCCCACTAAGCCCAAATCAGATGTGATGGCGTATCGCTGCAGAAGGCTGTGGTAGCCATGCTGGTTAACTGTGCCATGAATTCTAAGTAAATCACAGACAGTGTCACCAGCAAAGCACCCCCACACCATAACACCACCTCCTCCATGCTTTACGGTGGGAACTACACATGCAGAGAACATCCGTTCACCCGCACCGTCTCACAAAGACACGGCGGTTGGAGCCAAATATCTCAAATTTGGACTCCAGACCAAAGGACACGTTTCCACTGGTCTAATGTCCCTTGCTCGTGTTTCTTGGCCCAAGCAAGTCTCTTCTTCTTATTGGTGTCCTTTAGTAGTGGTTTCTTTTCAGCAATTTGACCATGAAGGCCTGATTCACACAGTCTCCTCTGAAGTTGATGTTGAGATGTGTCTGTTACTTGAACTCTGTGAAGCATTTATTTGGGCTGCAATTTCTGAGGCTGGTAACTCGAATGAACTTATCCTCTGCAGCAGAGGTAACTCTGGGTATTCCATTCCTGTGGCAGTCCTCATGAGAGCCAGTTTCATCATAGCGCTTAATGGTTTTTGGGACTGCACTTGAAGAAACTTTAAAAGTTCTTGAAATGTTCCGTATTGACTGACCTTCATGTCTTAAAGTAATGATGGACTGTCGTTTCTCTTTGCTTAATTGAGTTGTTCTTGCCATAATATGGACTTGGTATTTTACCAAATAGGGCTATCTTCTGTATACCCCCTACCTTGTCACAACACAACTGATTGGCTCAAACGTATTAAGAAGGAAATAAATTCCACAAATGAACTTTTAAGAAGGCACACCTGTTAATTGAAATGCATTCCAGGTGACTACCTCATGAAGCTGGTTGAGAGAATGCCTAGTGTGTGCAAAGCTGTCATCAAGGCAAAGGGTGGCTATTTGAAGAATCTCATATATAAAATATGTTTAACACATTTTTGGTTACTACATGATTCCATATGTGTTATTTCTTAGTTTTGATGTCTTCACTATTACAGTGAGGGAAAAAAGTATTTGATCCCCTGCTGATTTTGTACGTTTGCCCACTGACAAAGAAATTATCAGTCTATAATTTTAATGGTAGGTTTATTTGAACAGTGAGAGACAGAATAACAACAAAAAAATCCAGAAAACCGCATGCCAAAAATGTTATAAATTGATTTGCATTTTAATGAGGGAAATAAGTATTTGACCCCCTCTCAATCAGAAAGATTTCTGGCTCCCAGGTGTTTTTTATAAAGGTAACGAGCTGAGATTAGGAGCACACTCTTAAAGACACCTGTCCACAGAAGCAATCAATCAATGAGATTCCAAACTCTCCACCATGGCCAAGACCAAAGAGCTCTCCAAGGATGTCAGGGACAAGATTGTAGACCTACACAAGGCTGGAATGGGCTACAAGACCATCGCCAAGCAGCTTGGTGAGAAGGTGACAACAGTTGGTGCGATTATTCGCAAATGTAAGAAACACAACATAACTGTCAATCTCCCTCGGCCTGGGGCTCCATGCAAGATCTCACCTCGTGGAGTTGCAATGATCATGAGAACGGTGAGGAATCAGCCCTGAACTACACGGGAGGATCTTGTCAATGATCTCAAGGCAGCTGGGACCATAGTCACCAAGAAAACAATTGGTAACACACTACGCCGTGAAGGACTGAAATCCTGCAGCGCCCGCAAGGCCCCCCTGCTCAAGAAAGCACATATACAGGCCCGTCTGAAGTTTGCCAATGAACATCTAAATGATTCAGAGGAGAACTGGGTGAAAATGTTGTGGTCAGATGAGACCAAAATCGAGCTCTTTGGCATCAACTCAACTCACCGTGTTTGGAGGAGGAGGAATGCTGCCTATGACCCCAAGAACACCATCCCCACCGTCAAACATGGAGGTGGAAACATTATGCTTTGGGGGTGTTTTTCTGCTAAGGGGACAGGACAACTTCACCGCATCAAAGGGACGATGGACGGGGCCATGTACCGTCAAATCTTGGGTGAGAACCTCCTTCCCTCAGCCAGGGCATTGAAAATGGGTTGTGGATGGGTATTCCAGCATGACAATGACCCAAAACACACGGCCAAGGCAACAAAGGAGTGGCTCAAGAAGAAGCACATTAAGGTCCTGGAGTGGCCTAGCCAGTCTCCAGACCTTAATCCCATAGAGAATCTGTGGAGGGAGCTAAGGGTTCGAGTTGCCAAATGTCAGCCTCGAAACCTTAATGACTTAGAGAAGATCTGCAAAGAGGAGTGGGACAAAATCCCTCCTGAGATGTGTGCAAACCTGGTGGCCAACTACAAGAAACGTCTGACCTCTGTGATTGCCAACAAGGGTTTTGCCACCAAGTACTAAGTCATGTTTTGTAGAGGGGTCAAATACTTATTTCCCTCATTAAAATGCAAATCAATTTATAACATTTTTGACATGCATTTTTCTGGATTTTGTTGTTGTTATTCTGTCTCTCACTGTTCAAATAAACCTACCATTAAAATTATAGACTGATCATGTCTTTGTCAGTGGGCAAATGTACAAAATCAGCAGGGGATCAAATACTTTTTTCCCTCACTGTATTCTACGATGTAAAAAATAAAGAAAAACCCTTGAATGAGTAGGTGTGTCCAAACTTTTGACTGGTAGTGTATGTGAAAGTAATTGAACAATTTTAACTAGTATTTGGACCCAGGTCTGATTCTTACCATAAAAATTTAAGGCCAGTTTTGCCACCAAAAAGGGAAACCGGTTGACTTAAAACATGCAAGTCGCTGAAATAAAATGTTTTGTATCTCTATCCAGAGACATCAAGGACACAACAGTTGGCACCCTGTCTCAACGCATCACCAACCAGGTGCACGGGCTAAAGGGCCTCAACTGCAAGTTAGTGGATATCAAAGGGTATTTGGAGAAAGTTGCCACAGGTAAGCTGCCCATCAACCACCAGATCATCTACCAGCTGCAGGACGTCTTCAACCTGCTGCCTGACGTCAACCTTCAAGAGTTCATCAAGGCATTTTACCTCAAGACCAATGACCAGATGCTGGTGGTTTACCTGGCTTCACTCATTCGCTCCGTGGTTGCTCTTCACAACCTCATCAACAACAAGATCGCCAACCGAGATGCAGAGAAGAAGGAAGGCCAGGAAAAAGATGACAGCAAGAAAGAGAAGAAAGAGGACAAGGAAAAAGAGAAGGGAGACACTAAGAAAGATAAGAAGGAGAAAAAATGAGGAAGCAATGCTGATTTCTGACTACGGACTGACTGTTTGTTTTTGTTCTTCCCACCTGTCGGACACTATTTATCTTTTTTTTTTTATGAAGAAGACCCTCGCATTTTCTTTATGTATTAAAAGAGTGAAGGGAATTGGCTATTTGGTTATCTACTCCACATAAGTCTAATCATTTTTCATTCTTATGTAGCTCATTTGGTTAATGTTGACAAAATACTAGTTTGCTATTAATTTCACAACAAACATTAATACAACAACATTTGAATTATATTTTTATCCTGCTCTACTCCTCAGTGTTGTCTACTCCTCACATTACCATAGTAACCATACATGTGTGTATTTGTGACAGAAAAGTGTGAGGGAAAAGAAGGAGCTGTTATTTCCTCTTAACATATTTTTAAAGCTTTGCATTAGATCACAAAACGGCACAAATAGCCTCATTCATGCATGATATATTAGATAATTAAACGGCTAGAGGCAACAAGTCAACAAAATGCATCACCGCTCCTATGAAGCAACAGAACAGAAAATGACAGCTCCCTATGAATACATACAGAGTGGTACACCAGTACTTAGAAGTAATCATCTATGAGGATATAGTGAAGAATCCTTTGTTAGTTGCTGAGGCAGTCATGCCATTCTCCTTGGGGCTGTCACTGTCTTCCTTCTTCTTAATTTTGATTCCAAACAAGTTGCAGAGCTTCATCAGCATCAGATCCACTATCTCCTCCTCCTCTGAGGGCTGTGGAACAGTGAACAGACAGCTCAGAATGGATAGTCAAGTGACCGCCTCAGTCGAAATGTATTAAGGTATTGGTCCCGGTTGATTCTGATATATTGATGTTCAAATAAGACCTAATATGACCAGAACAAGGTTAATTTTACATAGTGTAAGATTGATGCACAGTACCTTGTGATGCATTTGCTCTTGAGTGAACGCCACCAGGATGACAGAGATGAACAGGTTCAGAACCACAAAGGTCATGAATATAATGCAGGAGCCGATGAGGAACGCACCAAGCACCGGGTTGTAATCAAGAACCTGGATTAGAAGGAGAAGTTACAGAATTTAATCACAACGCTACCATCATGACTACAGCAGTAATCAGTCTAGTAGAGCTGTCCTCTACTAACCTCGTCATAGTTGAAGATGCCCAGTTGCAAGCTGACCATGGCTAGAGCAGAATCCAGGAGAGTCCTATATGAGTACAGCTTCCAGCCATACATCAGATTAGACTGCAGACGGAGAATGATCACAGTTTAGTCACTCACACTGCAAGTCAAGGGGACACCCATCATACACAAGCACAACATCACATAAGAAGAGAATGAGGATGAAGTTGGAGAATGACAGCACCATGGACAACTTATAGGCTAGGTGTTTCAGAAAGACCCTTACAGCAATAGAATAGGCCAGGAACATAATGGTGATGACCACGAGGAAGCCTGATATGTCTGTCCAGGCCCGTTGCAGTGTGGCTGTGATCATGTGTAGCTTGGGGTTGAGCCTCAGCAGATGCCACAGTTTGACTGTAGCCAGTAGCACCAGGAATGCGATCAGATACCCCAGCACTGCATCTGCTATGGCTGTTTCATGGAAACTGGCAAACCTGGACAGAGAGCGGAGAAGTTTAACATCACACAGAAGCAACTGACCAACAATAGGGATAAAAGACTAGCGAAAGTAAAGCAGAAACCCATGATACCCCAACCCAGTGTGAACTCACTGGTCTTTATGGTTGTGGTAGTACTCCATGTCCCGGTTCCCTAACAGGGTCCTCTTGATGAAGACAGACAATGCGCTCCAGCTCAGGAGGATGATGGCAAGCTCCAGCAGGTTCCACTTTGTCTTGAAGTAAGCCCACTTCTGCTGCTTCATCAGCTTTCCCTGTGAGGAGATGAGAAGAGTTAGACTGAGGAGGAATTCCAGAACAATGGCACTAGACCATTGTGGCACTGATTTTATACTCTTTACACATAAGAAAGGTATTTAAATTACAGCTTACCTGAACAAACATGTAGTAGAGGATAAAGAGGAAATAGATGACCTCAGAGGCCATGACAAAGATGTGGAGTCCACCGGTGGACTGGTACAGTCGGACACTCTGCAGCTCACTGCGAAACTGGAACGCTCCTGAGAGAATAAGACAGGTGCTGACAATCTGAGCTTTGGGTGCCTTTAAATACTTACTTTGTGCTGTATTCATGGAGTGATATAACAACTGTCTCACCTACAGCTGTGGTCTCCAGCATGAGTGTGACAATGCAGAAGAGGTTGACATTGGCATTGTACACGGTGAACTCTACAAAGACTGCCCGGGTGAACATATCAAGCCAGGTGTTGTCAAACAGATACTGAAGGGTACTGCAGGGACAGAAGACATGCATGAATAAAATAACATATTTCTCTACCACAAATATGGTTTGATAACTCTGATAATTTTAAAACATTTGGTCAATGTTAATTTACCTGCTAGCGTTCTGTGAGTCAGGGCCCAGGTCCACCACAAACCCCCCTCCCCGGTAGAGAACCACACTACCCCAGATAGGTTGGGCTCTGAGTCGGGCCTGGGTTTGGTATTGCCAGGGGCTGCGGAGGGTCTTTGAGGTGTTTTCACTCCCCGAGCGGTTCCAGCCTGGCCCATAGGAGCCCATGTCCTCCACCTCCCATGAGTATGGAGCATGACAGTCAGGAACAGACTGGCGCATGGAGCGGGCGATGCGGCAGGAGTTCTTCTGCACCCTCACCTGGCGAAGACGGGCATTACCAACCAGTTTGGAGTTCCCATCTGTGATGAAACCTATAACACAGCATGCAGAAAATGTTAAGGCAAAGAATAACTAAAAGACAAAACGCTAGCACGCTTTCATCTATACAATTTCTCTTTAACCTTCTAGAAATTAACGTTCTCTATGAAATAAACCTCCTCTTTTGAGAATGCTACCTGGGTTCTCTCCGAAGAGGTTGCTGAGAAGAGAGGTATTTGCCCAGGTGAACACATTTCCGTGGCTCATGCTGTCTGAGATCCCTTGGCTGAAGCTCTGCCGAATGTGCTGAGTCAGGAAGTAAGCGTTAGGGTCCCTCTGACCATACGCCACCAGGAGCAACATCCACATGAACCCCATGTAGGCTGCAAAAGAATCATAGGCCTTAAGCATGTATGTTAACCAATAGGTGCGGTGAATGACAGTGCAGTGAATGAAAAAGCGGTTCATCTTACTGAGAATCTCTTTGATGAGGGCGAAGACCTTCTGCTCCTTGATCATGTTGTTCCTCATCCTGTCGATGTCTGTGGGAGGAGGGGGCTGGTAGAAGCTGCATGTGCTATCCCTCCTGACAGCCCACACTGCATCAGGGTCATCTGTGGACAAGATGGTTGTAAAAGGTGAAAACAAGCTGTATCTAGTCTTAGCTTGCTCATATACAAGTAAACAGAATATCCATAACGAATAAGGAAAGCAGAAAGGATATGCTGTTATGCCTGAAATATGGGAAATTAGCTTTAAGATAAAGCACCTGGGTTTCGGAGCTCCCCCTCAAACTTTGGATCCCCATACTCCTCCTGATCAACTTTCTTCAGAACGAGAGCAAAGAAGGCTGCAAAACCTAGCACCTGTGATAGGAAATCCACAAAGTAATACCCAGATTTCAGATACATGAGGCAGGACATTTTACATTGTACAGGATGTATTGTACTGTAGGTCTCACCTTCAGCGGCTGAGTGATGAAGAGGCTCTCAAAGAAAGACACAACCATGGAGATGAGCCAGCTTATAGAGCGGTCCTTCCCATAGGTCAGCCCATACATCATGGTGAAGTATCCTGATACTCCGCTGGTGGCTAACACCAGTATCCAGCCAATAAACACAAACCACCAGGGAAGCCCGCCCTGCTTCTTACTGCTGCTGTCTCCCTCACTGCTCTCTGCTGGGCTGGGGCTTCGAGCCAGCTGGTCCCCTCCAAGGCTGGAAGACTCTAGCAGTCCCTTCATGCCCTGGACCTGCTGCACTGCCCGGCAGTAGCTGTCTGGGTTGGGGAAGCGAGAGGGTCCCAGTAGGCTCAGCTCCTTCTCTACATGACGTAGCTGCCTGTACAGATACTGGCTGTTGTTGCTCCTTTTCTGGCTCCCATCCCCAGTCTTCTCAGGGCTCCCACACAGGCTGGTCTCTGAAAACACAGCATTGATTGATTTGATTTATTACATTATGAAAGTGTCTTGCATTTTCAAGATGCCCAGCCCACATGGGCTTGTAAGACACTGTATCTGCAGTAGCAAAGAAAATAATGATATATATGCATGCATACAAACTCCCCAGTCAAAATTAAACTGCTCCTTTCATATTTATTTTGATCCTGACAAACTCCCCATTACCTGCCGGTGACAAGCATACCCATAACATGATGCTGCCACCACAATACTTGAAATTACAGAGGGCTTCACTCTGTGTTGTATTTGACCAAAGCATGTCATTTTTAAAGGTTCATATCTTTGCCGTGTTGACTTGCAGTATTACTTAACTGCCTTGTTGCAAACAGAATGGATGATTTGGAGTGGATGTTTTTACGCAGGGTTCCTTCTTTTCACTTTGTCATACAGGCCAGTGATGTGGAGTGAATGCAATGTTGTTGATCCTCTGTATTTTCAAGTATTGTGGTGGCAGCATCATGTTATGGGTATTGCCAAAGACACACCGGATTGGCTTTCCAATAGGTATTGAGTGTTCCTGAGTGGTCCAGTCTCAGTCCTGACTTAAATTAGCTTAAAAATCAGAGACAAGGTTTGAATATTGTTGTCCATAAATTATTCCCAACCAAATTTACTGAGCTTGAACAATTTTGACAAAAACAATGTACAAAACATTAGGAACAAAACATTAGGAACACCTTCCTAATATTGAGTTGCACCCCCTTTTGCCCTCAGAACAGCCTCAATTTGTCTGGGCATGGACTGTACAAGGTTTGTTAAGCATTCCACAGGGATGCTGGCACATGTTGACTCCACAGTTGTGTCAAGTTGGTTGGATGTCCTTTGGGTGGTGGACCATTCTTGATACACACGGGAAACTGTTGCGCGTGAAAAACCCAGCAGCATTGCAGTTCTTGATACACTCAAACCGGTGCACCTGGGACCTACTACCATACCCCGTTCAAAGGCACTTAAATATTTTGTCTTGCCCATTCACCCTCTGAATGGCACACATACACAAGCCATGTCTCAATTGTCTCAAGGCTTACAAATCCGTATTTAACCTGTCTCCTCTCCTTCATCTACACTGATTGAGGTGGATTTAACAAGTGACATCAATAAGGGATCATAGCATTCACCTGGATTCACTTAGTCAGTCTATTTCATGGAAAGATCAGGGGTTCTTAATGTTGTGTATACTGAGTGTAGCTTATCTTGATGTATCTTCCATGCTTTGGAAACAACATTTGTAACCAGGAACACTTCTTTTCTAAATTACCATTCCAGTTTCTCTTCGTATCTAACCAATAATATTTCTGGTTTCAGTTGTTGAATTTTATCAAACAAGGTTACTCTTAATATCATGTAAATCAAAATGTAAAGTACAGTTAATTCTCAACCTCCCCTAAATCGTCCCCTAGCTGCTCTTCTTCAATTATTGCGTTAAACCTTTTTTTATTTTTTTTGTCATTTAGCAGACGCTCTTATCCAGAGCGACTTACAGGAGCAATTAGGGTTAAGTGCCTTGCTCAAGGGCACATCGACAGGTTTTTCCACCTAGTCAGCTCGGGGATTAGAACCAGCGACCTTTCGGTTACTGGCAAAACGCTCTTACCCACTAAGCTACTTACCTTAATTGCCAGAGGCAATTGGTTTCTTGTAAGGTGACAGAGGGTTCTGGATCCTAGCTGTTTTTAATCTGGTTATAAATTCTGAGTTTCGGTTTAAGCCATATATCATATGATTATCCTTTGGCTGACTGACATCCCGGAGGACCTGAGGCCTAGGACCATGCCTCAGGACTACCTGGCCTGATGACTCCTTGCTGTCCCCAGTCCACCTGGTCGTGCTGCTGCTCCAGTTTCCACTCTTCTGCCTGCGGCTAAGGAACCCTGACCTGTTCACCGGACGTGCTACCTTGTCCCAGACCTGCTGTTTTCAGCTCTTTCTCTCTACCGCACCTGCTATTTCAACCTCTAAATGCCCGGCTATGAAAAGCCAAGTGACATTTACTCCTGATGTACTGACCTGTTGCAACCTCTACAACCACTGTGATTATTATTTGACCCTGCTGGTCATCTATGAACATTTGAACATCTTGGAGAAAAATCTGGCCTTAATGGCCATGTACTATTATAATCTCCACCTCAGTTGGTAGAGCATGGCGTTTGCAACGCCAGGGTTGTGGGTTCGATTCCCACGGGGGGCTAGTATGACCCCCCAAAAATATATAAAACTAACTGTAAGTCGCTCTGGATAAGAGCGTCTGCTAAATGACTAAAATGTAAACGTAAAAGGGCTTTATAAATACGATTTGATTGATTGATTAAACTTTGGCCACTATATACTGTAAATATTGCATCTCTGGACATGCTACCAGAACATGTTATCAGATCAACCAGCAGTGCAATGCAGACAACCCCCCCCCCCCCCCCCCCCCCCCCAACTGGGCTGTACCTTGCAGATTAGCTACTCCTAGTGAGAGAATGAGCGCCCCCTCTTTCTTGGAGGCATCAGTGTAGAACTCCCCACCGGCTCGGTTCTGCTTCCGGATGATGTCCTCCACCAGAGAGAGCAGAGTGTTGATATCAGTTTGTTGTCCAGGCTTCATCTCTAACTCCAGGCGTGGAATGGGGCTCTTCATAGCCTTGGAGAGTGACTGAGCAAGCTTCTTTATGTCCTGAGAGAATAACGTATTCAGAAAGACCCCTTGACTTTTTCTACATTTTGTTACGTTACAGCCTTATTAAAAAATGTATTCAATTGTTTTATTCCCTCATGAAGCTACACACAATACCCCATAATGTCAGTTCCTTCACTCAGTACTTTGTTGAAGCATCTTTGGCAGCGATTACAGCCTAGAGTCTTTTTGGGTATGATGCTACAAGCTTGGCATACCTGTATTTGGGGAGTTTCTCCCATTCTTCTCTGCAGATCCTCTCAAGCTCTGTCAGGTTGGATGGGTAGTGTCGCTGCACAGCTATTTTCAGGTCTCTCTAGAGATGTTCGATCGGGTTCAAGTCCGGTCTCTGGCTGGGCCACTCAAGGACATTCAGAGACTTATCCCAAAGCCACTCCTGCGTTGTCTTGGCTGTGTGCTTAGGGTCGTTGTCCTGTTGGAAGGTGAACCTTCACTCCAGTCTGAGGTCCTGAGCGCTCTGGAGCAGGTTTTCATCAAGGATCTCTCTGTACTTTGCTCCGTTCATCTTTCCCTCGATCCTGACTAGTTTCCCAGTCCCTGCCTCTGAAAAACATCCCCCACAGCATGATGCTGCCACCACCATGCTTCACCGTAGGGATGGTGCCAGGTACTTGGCATTCAGGCAAAAAGTTCAATCTTGGTTTCATCAGACCAGAGAATCTTGTTTCTCATGGTCTGAGAGTCCTTTAGGTGCCTTTTGGCAAACTCCAAGCGGGCTCTCATGTGCCTTTTACTGAGGAGTGGCTTCTGTCTGGCCACTCTACCATAAAGGCCTGATTGGTGGAGTGCTGCAGAGATGGTTGTCCTTCTGGAAGGTTCTCCCATCTCCACAGAGGAACACTTGGAGCTCTGTCAGAGTGACCATCGGGTTCTTGGTCACCTCCCTGACCAAGGCCCTTCTCCCCCGATTCTAGAGTCTTGGTGGTTCCAAACTTCTTCTATTTAAGAATGATGGAGGACACTGTGTTCTTGGGGACCTTCAATGCTGCAGACATTTTTTGGTACCCGTCCCCAGATCTGTGCGTCAACACAATCCTGCCTCTTGAGCTCTACGGACAATTCCTTTGACCTCATGGCTTGGTTTCTGCTCTGACATACACTGTCAACTGTGGGACTTTATATAGACAGGTGTGTGCCTTTCCAAATCATGTCCAATGAATTGAATTTACCACAGGTGGACTCAATGCAAACAGGATGAACCTGAGCTCAATTTCGAGTCTCATAGCAAAGGGTCTGAATATTTATGTAAATAAGGTATTTATGTTTTTTATTTTTAATACACTTCCAACAATTTCTAAAAACCTGTTTTCGCTTTGACATTATGGCGTATTGTGTGTAGATTGATGAGGATTTTTGTTATTTAATCCATTTTAGAATATGTCTAGAACGTAACAAAATACGGAAAAGGGGAAGGGGTCTGAATACTTTCCGAATGCACTGTATTAACAGCTTTGCTGATGTGGCGAGGCAAACAGGCTGACTCTTGATCATAAATTATGTTACAATTATTTACTTATTTTACCTTGATGACAGTGTCTGGTGTGAGTTCTCTCTCCCTCTGTGGGGAGGGGGGCTGTGAGGGAGACACTCTGCCAGTCTTCCCCTGCTTGGACCCCTCTGCCTTGGGCTTTCCAGGCTTCGTCTCTCGGGGGCGGGTGTTTCTGAAGATACTCACAATGAGGAGATTAATTGGAAACATTATGATTGAACTCTGAATTCCAATCATCACCTGCTGCCATGTGAACTCGATATGACCTACAGGAGTAAAAAGAAGAAAGAGTTATTGTTCTGAAAACCTACCATTTGCAAATGCCATCAATACTGTGCAGGCGTCCATACCCAGGTCCATGGTCTGCTCAGAGGGGTCGGTAGGGATGCCCCAGAACATGATGCTGGTCAGCATGGTGCAGAGCAGCAGAGAGAAACAGCAGGAGACTCGCTGGACACATGTGAAGGTGCTCGTTGGAGGCCGGCTGATCACAGAAAACCAGATGTGGCCATCACGGAAATCCTTTGCCGTTTTCATGAAAAACAGATTACTGCAGAATATACAGTGTAAGAAGATTTAGTTACATGATGGACAATTGTTCTGGGATTCATATATTGCTATAACAAGGTGGATCCATGCTTTACCTCACCTGAATTTCTTCAATTCTATGTCAGAGGCAACAGGGAAGACTTTATCAAGGATGCACTCGCCCATATCTATGGCCAGCCATGAGTTACACAGGAAGTGCCGCTTCTGTCCAGTTTCTAGATCCTGCACCATCACTTTGTTTATATACCTGCATGAAAACCGTTATTGTCAACTACATCCACAATTTCAAACGTCAGCTTGAATTAATGTAAAATCCATCTGTCCCTCTACTACTGTGAAACATCCCCCTCCTCCCCCTCTCCTACCAGGCAGGGTGCCCCCCTGAGTTGTCGTGCCACAGCCTGATGCTCTGCAGCTCCCCCAGGGAGAAGGGTGTGGTCAACAGGAACGTATCCACTGCACCCCTCTCAAACACAGGCTTGTCAGGGTCAGTGAGGTGGTGTGGCTCACTCTCTCCCTCCGTGCCCAGCAGAGTCACAGTAACCTGCAGCAGCAACACAGGGTCAGGGTCAGGGTCACTGAGTGTGGTTTTATCAGAGAACAGAATATGATGTCCTGCAGCAGTGGGAACTGTTGCTACTGACCTGAGAGGAGGTGGACGCACCACGCCGATGCCCAGTGCTGATATTCAGCATGTAACGGTATTCAGCCAAGGGGTCATTATCTTCCAGCACTGTCACCTTCACCTACAACAAGTATCATTTGAAGGTAAAACTCTGCATCAACAGCAAACCAACAGGATGATACATTCTCAAACCGGTAAATCTAAGCACTGTAAATCTGCTGATTGGGTCAACACAGTAGCATGTTCTCAAGTTGTCTGTATAGTCTGGACAAAAATTGTATAGAAAATGGCAGCAGCGATTGTTCAAGACAGACCTTGGCTATGTCCTGGATGTCCTTTTTGCGTGCCCACACGACCACCAAGAGATAAGCAACGAAGATGGCTCCAACAAAGCACACCACCACAGGGTTGTCTGAGAAGGTGGCGAAGAGCTCAGCAGTACGGGACACATCCACAAGGTTAGGCATGACGAAGAAAGAGCTCCCGAAGAAGGTCAAATGGTTACATAAGCACTGAGTGACCAATGGCGTGGTTAAAGGACCAACCTAAGGAGACCACAGTCAGTTTATGCATTTAATTTTAGCAGTGCCTGGTTGCAATGATGTGCCAATATTTTATTATAAAGGTGTTGTGTAGTACTTGTTGCATTTACCCTGCAGCCATCTTCACTCCAGTTGGATTTGGTTTCATTCCAATATTTGCACTGAGCAGCAATGGAGGTGACAGTCACAGTGGCATTGACAGATTTAACCCCTGCTTCTACAATGGGCCTCACCACAAGGTAGTGCACCCCAACCTTTCCTGTCAAATCATTGGGACCCAGGACCCAGGTGTATCTCTCTGTACCCAAAATAAACACAACACAAACACATTTATCTTTCTAAACACTCAGTGTTGTTCATTGTGCTTCACAAGAGTTATATGTCTCTGCCATTAACAAGAAGTCAGTTCAGGAGGTTGATCACCTTGTGAATTGCCTTGGTGAGGCATCTGAGTCTTGGCTATATATTGCTTGTCCTTTGGGTAGTCTTTATACCCCAGCAACAGTACAAATGGTATTTCCTCTGAGGGCTCCATCTTTAGCACCAGTGTTACGTCCGGTGAAGGGACGACAATCATCAGTGTGCTGTAGTTTCCCAGGTCAAGGATTGTGCTGTTCACCTGCCCTCCTTCAAGTCTCGGCAAGAGGATCTGAGAATCATAGAAGATGTTGTAATATATACAACTGTAATCATAATTATGTCTATTTGATCATATAGTCTTTAAAGTATAAGTCTTGGACATTATCTTAGAAGATACAGTGGGGGAAAAAAGTATTTAGTCAGCCACCAATTGTGCAAGTTCTCCCACTTAAAAAGATGAGAGAGGCCTGTAATTTTCATTATAGGTACACGTCAACTATGACAGACAAATTGAGAGAAAAAAATTCCAGAAAATCACATTGTAGGATTTTTAATGAATTTATTTGCAAATTATGGTGGAAAATAAGTATTTGGTCACCTACAAACAAGCAAGATTTCTGGCTCTCACAGACCTGTAACTTCTTCTTTAAGAGGCTCCTCTGTCCTCCACTCGTTACCTGTATTAATGGCACCTGTTTGAACTTGTTATCAGTATAAAAGACACCTGTCCACAACCTCAAACAGTCACACTCCAAACTCCACTATGGCCAAGACCAAAGAGCTGTCAAAGGACACCAGAAACAAAATTGTAGACCTGCACCAGGCTGGGAAGACTGAATCTGCAATAGGTAAGCAGCTTGGTTTGAAGAAATCAACTGTGGGAGCAATTATTAGGAAATGGAAGACATACAAGACCACTGATAATCTCCCTCGATCTGGGGCTCCACGCAAGATCTCACCCCGTGGGGTCAAAATGATCACAAGAACGGTGAGCAAAAATCCCAGAACCACACGGGGGGACCTAGTGAATGACCTGCAGAGAGCTGGGACCAAAGTAACAAAGCCTACCATCAGTAACACACTACGCCGCCAGGGACTCAAATCCTGCAGTGCCAGACGTGTCCCCCTGCTTAAGCCAGTACATGTCCAGGCCCGTCTGAAGTTTGCTAGAGTGCATTTGGATGATCCAGAAGAGGATTGGGAGAATGTCATATGGTCAGATGAAACCAAAATATAACTTTTTGGTAAAAACTCAACTCGTCGTGTTTGGAGGACAAAGAATGCTGAGTTGCATCCAAAGAACACCATACCTACTGTGAAGCATGGGGGTGGAAACATCATGCTTTGGGGCTGTTTTTCTGCAAAGGGACCAGGACGACTGATCCGTGTAAAGGAAAGAATGAATGGGGCCATGTATCGTGAGATTTTGAGTGAACCTCCTTCCATCAGCAAGGGCATTGAAGATGAAACGTGGCTGGGTCTTTCAGCATGACAATGATCCCAAACACACCGCCCGGGCAACGAAGGAGTGGCTTCGTAAGAAGCATTTCAAGGTCCTGGAGTGGCCTAGCCAGTCTCCAGATCTCAACCCCATAGACAATCTTTGGAGGGAGTTGAAAGTCTGTGTTGCCCAGCGACAGCCCCAAAACATCACTGCTCTAGAGGAGATCTGCATGGAGGAATGGGCCAAAATACCAGCAACAGTGTGTGAAAACCTTGTGAAGACTTACAGAAAACGTTTGACCTGTGTCATTGCCAACAAAGGGTATATAACAAAGTATAGATAAACTTTTGTTATTGACCAAATACTTATTTTCCACCATAATTTGCAAATAAATTCATTAAAAATCCTACAATGTGATTTTCAGGATTTTTTTTTCTCATTTTGATACTGTAAGTCTTGGACATCAAGGGCACTCAAGAGAAAAGCCCCACTAAAATTGCTACATGTTTGCAGCGTTCTGACCTCAATCTCCTCAGACAGGTTCTCCACAGGGATGGCTGATCCATCCTGTCTGGTGAGAGACACAGACCCCATGGCGCCACTGATGTTACCCCCCTCACTCCAAGAATAAGGGTTCTTCTCAAAACTCAGCATCTGTAAAAATAAGGAAATTATGAAACAAGAGAATGAAAACCGTCCACAACAGACTAATAGACAATTGCTATATGAACAATTAACCAAATGAAAACCCTCCAATGCTCGACACAAACAAAAACTCACTTTCACTGCCGTATCCACTTGCATGATAAATCCCTCACTAACCTCCACACATTCTCTCGTAGACATTCACACTTACTCGCACATCCACTTGTTCATCTGGAGAAAGGACGTCAGCACCCAGGGGAGGGAAGGAAAAGCTTGCAGAGGAGCTATCTGGGATGTTTATAGACTGCATCTGAATGCTATTTGGAGACATTCTAAGAGAAGACAGTGTATAATATACTGTAACTCAATATTGAGGCAACTTAACAGTAGCATTTTGTTTTTGGCATATTGTATTGTAAATATAAATTACATATCTGAAATGACATTTATTTTACAGGCCTCACATTTTTTATAGTATTGTTTCCTCTCCAATGCTCGTTCTCTTACCTGTTAGCATACACACTGATCTCAGGGCTCTTGATAATGGTAGGCTCCTGACCAACCTTTTTCCCATTTAACAGTGCACTCTGCACATTGTCCATACTGTTAAGGAGAATCTTTGAGACCTTTCTCTGTAAAAGACAAACAAAATTCAGTAGGCCTGAAAAGGGCTGAAAAGTAACCATAGTTCATTACTGTCATCAGGGAACTCAGTGAAGGTATATACAGTGCATTCGGAAAGTATTCAGACCCCCTTGACTTTTTCCACATTATGTTACGTTACAGCCTTATTCTAAAATTGATTAAATAAATGTTTTTCCTCATCAATCTACACACAATACCCCATAATGACAAAGCAAAAACATGTTGGTTTTTAGACATTTTTGCAAATGTATTAAAAATAAAAAACACATTTTTTACATAAGTATTCAGACCCTTTGCTATGAGACTCGAAATTGAGCTCAGATGCATCCTGTTTCCATTGATCATCCTTGAGATGTTTCTACAACTTGATTGGAGTCCACCTGTGGTAAATTCAATTGATTGGACATGATTTGGAAAGGCACACACCTGTCTATATAAGGTCCCACAGTTGACAGTGCATGTCAGAGCAAAAACCAAGCCATGAGGTCGAAGGAATTGTCCGTAGAGCTCCGAGGCAGGATTGTGTCAAAGTTTGGAACCATGAAGACTCTTCCTAGAGCTGTCCGCCCGGCCAAACTGAGCAATCGGGGGAGAAGGGTCTTGGTCACCAAGAAGCCGATCGTCACTGACAGAGCTATAGAGTTCCTCTGCAGCACTCCACCAATCAGACCTTGAGTTTGAGTTTGAGTTTGAGTTTATTTTTACAGGGACAGTGCACATTAATCAACGTTTCAGTAAAAGTGCCGGTTTTAGCCAGCCGGCTAATTTTCAACCGCAGTCCCTGGGCAGGGTGGCCATATGGAATCCACTCCTCAGTAAAAGGCACATGAAAGCCCTCTTGGAGTTTGCCAAAAGGCACCTAAAGACTCTCAGACCATGAGAAACACGATTCTCTGGTCTGATGAAACCAAGATTGAACACTTTGGCCTGAATGCCAAGCGTCACGTCTGGAGGAAACCTGGCACCATCCCTAAGGTGAAGCATGGTGGTGGCAGCATCATGCTGTGGGGATGTTTTTCAGAGGCAGGCACTGGGAGACTAGTCAGGATCTAGGGAAAGATTAATGGAGAAAAGTACAGAGAGATCCTTGATCAAAACCTGCTCCAGAGCACTCAGGACCTCAAACTGGAGTAGAGGGTTCACCTTCCAACAGGACAACGACCCTAAGTACACAGCCAAGACAACGCAGGAGTGGCTTCGGGACAAGTCTCTGAATGTCATAGAGTGGCCCAGCCAGAGCCGGACTTGAACCCGATCGAACATCTCTGGAGAGACCTGGAAATAGCTCTGCAGCAACGCTCCCCATCCAACCTGACAGAGCTTGAGAGGATCTGCAGAGAAGAATGGGAGAAACTCCCCAAATACAGGTTTGCCAATCTTGTAGCGTCATACCCAAGAAGACTCTATGCTGTTTTCGCTGCCAAAGGTGCTTCAAAAAATACTGAGTAAAGGGTCTGAATACTTATGTAAATGTGATATTTCCGTTTTTTATTTTTAATAAATGTGCTAAAATTTCTAAAAACCTGTTTTTGCTTTGTCATTATGGAGTATTGTGTGTAGATTGATGAGGGGAAAAAACAATATAATCAATTTTAGAATAAGGCTGTAACGTAACACAATGTGGAAAAAGTCAAGAGGTCTGAATACTTTCTGAATGTACTGTATGTCACCTGTGTGCTTGCATTTGAAGAGACTCCCAGGATATTGCTGGCTGCCTCTACTATGGGTGTAGCTGCCTGCACCATCTCTTCTCCACCATGCTCACTGACATTCATATAGAGAAGGGAAGAGCTGAGGTCTGCCACCAGGGAGCTAGCTTCTAGCTGGAAAAGATCCACAGCACAACATAGACCGTTGGGAACTAAATCTCTGCTCTTATTCAGCAATACATGTTTGGGAAAGATGATGTTGCCTTGCTCTCATTTACAAGTGTACCTGAGCAGCGGAATTGACCTCGTCCCCCCGCTTGGTGATCCCTGCCACTGCTCTGGCCATCACCTGCACTTCCTGAGGAGTGTTGTTGGGGACACTCTTCAGCACTGCAGTCATGCTGCTCAGCATCTGTTCTCGCAGCTGGAACACAAATCAGAATACCTCACAAACATCCATCTGAAGACACACTTCCTTTTGTCTTGAACTTCATACTAATTTAGCGTAACTCTTTTAGTTTGGTGTAATGTCTTATTTTCAACAATACACAGAGTCCCTAGACCAGGGATGGGCAACTTTAATGGGGGTGGGGGCCACAAAAAATTTGAACTCATCATGAGGAGCTGCAGTGGCTCGCGAGTCTGCGTACCCACATCCATACCCACACATGCAGTCAACTGATTTGTGCAATCAATCCATTTGTGCAGTTAAATTACTTACCTCTCTTAACTAAATGCATTATACCAGTAGCCATGGCCAGCCCTAGTCTCTTGGGGGCCCTAAGCGAGATTTGGCCTTGCACCTGGTGGGCCAATTTTTTTACTGGTCTCTGTCTTGACTGGTCCCCTTCTTAGCAGCCGGGGGCCCTAAGTGACTGCTTATGTCGCTTATGCCTGGAGCCGACCCTGATAAGTTGTTTATGAACTGCTCATTATTAGTTTATAAACACTATTTAATAATTGGTGCCTCGTTTTTGGAAATGGATCCACGGGCCTACAAAAGCGGGTCGCAACTTGCCCATCCCTGCCATAGACATTCCTGGCATCAAAGCCCATACGCCCTATGACCTTCTTAGCATATTACTCCGTTCTCACCTCCTCCCTGGCACCTTTCTGATCCTCACTGGAGCCCATATTCAGAATGTCGGACACGGACTTGAACATCTGACCAAGGGTCTCCCCAGTGAGCAACCCCTGCTGCTGTAGCTGAGCGACAGTGTTCTCCACCACAGACTGCAGATTCTCCACTGGGGAACTGGAGTTGGCTGGCCAAACCTTGGAGGACAACAATGAAATGAGAGTTCCATATACTCAATTATAAATGTGAGCTCTATAGAGCAGAAAGGCAGGACATATTCCATGCATTAAATCATTAAGAGTTTTACTTGATGACAAACCTCAGTGGTGATTGTGGCATTGGTTCTTCTATCCCCATTTATTACAGTAACCACCACAGACAGACTGTAGTTGTAACTGTTGTTCCCGAGAGGTAGGAAGATTGACTTAACTTCATTTACGTAACTGCAGCGCAAATGTTTATCTGAAATATAAATAAATATTATATAAAGTATTCTCATACAGTGGATAAAGCTTTATCTGAATACACGGCACATAATTTTTATTTTTTATTTACAGTCCTGCTACTCAACTTCTTTGATAGGGGAAAGTCTCCTGAAATAGACTACATTGTGGACAGATTTCAGACAACTCACCTTGGTCAGTTTTGAAACAATATTGGCATTTGCCTGTGGAGCAGGAGGTTGTTGCACAGGTGATATTGAAAGCATCTAGAACTGTGCCTGACTGAGGGGAAATTATACAGGAAGGGATGCTGGCGATGGTAGTTGGGGCTGTGGTTTTAGGTACAGTTACAGGTACGGTAGTAGTTGCCGGTATGGTGGTAGCAGCCGGGAGGGTAGTAGCTACCAGTGGGATGGTAGCAACTGGTATGGTAGTAGCAGCTGGACGAGTAGTAACAGCCGGTAGGATGGTGGTAGCAGCTGGTAGGGTAGTAGCAGGCGGTATGTTAGTGGCAACAGGTGCAGGTGTTGCAACACCTGGTATCTGAATGGTGTACTTGACAACTCCAGATGTCGTCTTACCTAGAAAAAAAAGTTAATATAAATAAATACATTCTGTATATTTTGGTCTGGATGTACAGTATTTACTCTAAATATCCATGATCAAGTGATACATCACCTCAAATATAACACATTGGAACGCCGTGATTAGTTTTATGGCCCACATTACAATGGCTAATTTGACATTCTGATGTCAAGTTGAACATAAATGAAACTCATCCTACTATTACCTGTAACTAAAGCCATATAACAACACATACTCTAAAGTCAATGAATACCTACCATACGCTATCACATTGAGATTCAGAGACCTGGACTGTGCATTTTTCAGATTTTCACTTGTCACCATGTATTCATTGCCACCATCTATTCTGTGTAGCAGTGGTCTTTGCTTTGCTTTTTCGTAGCAGTGTTTGAGGGCGCCCTAGAAGAAATTAGCTCAAAATTAAAAATGTATGACTACAGCTTTTAAACAATCGAACTTCACATGCATTCATTTCGGTTACTTATTTTGCTCATGTGACAAATGACAAATGAATGTGTGTATGTGTGTTCAAACACCTTTGTGTTTGTGTGCATATCGGAGGGGTTGGTTAATAGCAGAAGACACATTTCCGTCTGGACTAATAAAGTATATCTTATTTGATTCAATCTGAAATTAGACAACAGAAGTTCTATCTATTCATGCACTGAAAAGCACTATTCATAAATATGCACAATAGAGGAGTCTCAGACTTACTGTCAAAGGTCTTGTGTCCTCAACATGCCAAACTACTGTTGGGCAACTCGTTGTGGTGGTACACTCCAATTTTAGCCTTACATCGTTGTTTATGTTCACTGGGTTACAATTAGAACAACTAAAATAATAAAGGTTCACTTTTATCATACAATAGATCTTCTGGGACATAGATTACTGTAAATTAGAATTTGATTCATATTTATCTTCCTTCTTTGATAATGCAAACCTCTTCTAACAAACAAAATGTCACTCAGGATTACACATCTGTCAAATGAGCCATTCCCTCCCTCGTTTTACCTTATGGCAACATCGGTGAATTCTGGCGGAGTAACAGTGATGCATTTCTCTGCTTTAGCCACTTGAGCCCCAGGACCATTTTTCTTCCGCACAGTGAAACTGTATATATAAAAAAGAAATGGGTCTGGAAGACAGGCTGCTGTAATCACATGAGACTCCTGGTTTGTTTTGTCTCTGCATTTACATTGTTCATCTGTTGGAATAAATGGGGAACATGGTTTGAGTAAAACATCTGTGCTGAAAGCACATTAAAAGGTCCTAGACAATCGATACTGTCAACTGGAAACCAGAGAAATACTTAGTGAGTTTAGAAGAACAATTATATTCATAGAATTCATTTATAACTAGCACAGGCCATGAAGATACGACTTGAACAAGTGAGCCACGTAAATAGTCTTGACCAACATTTTTACTGTAGCCTACTAATGAGTTGAACTGAGAGGTGAGTGTTCTCATTGACAGCCCTGGTACTTACTGCATTCCCATTCAAGTTGTATCCCAGGCTCACTGATTCCGGGTACTCCACTCAAGCCAGTTAACCCAAGTGTGATACTTTGAGTGAAGTCAGATGGACGTTCTGGATCGGAAGTGATTTCCATATTAGCTTGGGGAAGTCTTTTATGCTCCTCTGTCTGAAAGTCTGATTTATTGTGGCAAACAACTGTTGTGTTCCCCACATCCACATCCATGTGTGAGAAGACATTCCAGGCCCTGACTTTCACTTGCAAATATCCTGTAACAAAACAGCTGATATAAATAAACAAGGAAACGTTTAATCTTTACCTATCTTCTGTCAATGTTTCTGATTGTATTTGGTTAGGTACCTTGGATAGTGGTTGAGATATTGTAAACCTGCATGCTGCTGTTTTGCATGTCTCTGGTCTCAGAGATGCTGTCGTTGGCTCCAGACACCTGGAAGAGAAGCTGCACCGGGGCTCCCCGATCCAGGGAGACTCTAACAAAAAGGTCTGAGTCTGGACACTCTCCCTCCTCAGCCATCACTGATCCCAGGAGGCCCTCCACAGGCTCCAGCAGACACACCTGCAGCTCAGTGGACACACCCAAGGCCGAGACCCCGTTAGAGGCATGCAGGGTCAGCTGATGGCAGCCAGAGCCCAGCTGTTGCTCCACCTCTGGTCCTACTGTGATGTTGTGGGGGATGATTCCTCTGACTGCTGATGAATTGGCCACCAACATCTCACCACTGTGGATTTTGTAGGTCACATTCGTACCTGTAGATAGCAAAGTTGTCTCATTCTACCAAGAATTGTACTCTCGGAAATGGAAGACCAGATGCTTTTATTTCTGCCTATGTTGTTTTTACTTACCAGCTTCTACTTCAACCTGGATTTGAAGGGGGCTTCCATACATGGCCTTGCAGTTTACACTATCTGTTGATTGGTTCATGCTATAGCACTTAATGACGCCAAACTCCCCGATGGGCTCCTGAATGGTGATGGCTTTCTGAGCTGTCACATGCCACTCACTGGTGGTACACTCCACCCCAACCATGAAGACACCCGGACGGGTGTATTTATGAACCACAATGCTCTCCAACCTGTGAGAGTGGAAATTCCATTAATTGTGGATGAATTAGGGACTTTTTGCCTTTGATGTTGGGTGATTTACATTACTCAGTTACTCACTCTTCTGGACTATAAGGATCAATGTTGTGCCCATCTCCAGCACTTAGAGTGCAGGTCAGGTTGCCCTGGAATGGATGGAGAAGCCACTTCACTGTTATGGAGACGTTGTCAAAGACGGCAGCCAACTTGCTCATTAATAAGTGGAGACCTGTGAACCACAGATATGGCTAGGTTAAATTGTGACTGTGTGTGCTAGCCACCACTCATAATGTGTTGAAATACAACATTAGAAAACCGTAAATCGAGGCCTTCACTATCTTAAAACATATTTGGGTATTTAAATGGAATGTAGAAGGGAGGAAAGGAGAGACAGTGAGAGAGACAGAGGTAGAGTGTTCTGACCATCTTTGCAGTGGTATTCCACAGACAGGTAGCTTCCCAGCCCTGGGCAAGGTTCACCAAAGGAGGCCACATCTGCTGTGGCCTGGCACGCCTGCAGCCCAAGGCAGTCTCCTGGAAATGATGCACATTAAATATAGATATGAGAGGTGAAGAAATAGAAGAGGAGAGTTTTCCATCATAATTATTATCAAAATCATCATTAAGATCATCCACATCATCATTATAAAAGACTTATGCAAGTGGTCTGAAAATAAGAATCATGTGTGCACACTGTGCAGAGGAAGGATTATTATCACAACACCTATTCTATTTGCCATTCATAAATGAAACACCAGCTTAAGCAATGACTTAAACCTAAGGTCCATATTTAGTGCAGTACATTTAGATTTCATTCATGGTATTACAACCATTTAAAGCTTGTAATTTCAAAAGAAGGGATATATATTTTGTGGCTTTGCTTTCAGTCTTGACATTGTATTAGCGTCTGTACCTCTATAATGGTTTTCGTTGAGCCGCAAATACATTTTTATTGCTGCCTCAGTGCATCTGGTGCCGTTGTTGAAGCTGTGTGTGTTTTACAATATTTACAGTTCTGCTCTATGCTTTGCAAATGCAAGCATGTTCTAAGAGCTCAATGTTTAAATATTGTTCATCGGGTTGTTGTTTCGCAATAGCTTCTTGCTAAAGTGGAATTAAGTTGAATTGCTGCCTCTATGTTCAGTTGAAGTCGGAAGTTTACATACACCTTAGCAAAATACATTTAAACTCAGTTTTTCACAATTCCTGACATTTAATCCTAGTAAAAATTCCCTGTCTTAGGTCAGTTAGGATCAGCACTTTATTTTAAGAATGTGAAATGTCAGAATAATAGTAGAGAGAATGATTTATTTCAGCTTTTATTTCTTTCATCACATTCCCAGTGGGTCAGAAGTTTACATACACTCAGTTTGTATTTGGTAGCATTGCCTTTAAATTGTTTAACTTGGGTCAAACGTTTCGGGTAGCCTTTCACAAGCTTCCCACAATAAGTTGGGTGAATTCCTCCTGACAGAGCTGGTGTAACTGAGTCAGGTTTGTAGGCCTCCTTGCTCGCAAACACTTTTTCAGTTCTGCCCACCAATTTTCTAAAGGATTGAGGTCAGGGCTTTGTGTCAGGCCCATTCCTCCTGACAGAGCTGGTGTAACTGAGTCAGGTTTGTAGGCCTCCTTGCTCGCAAACACTTTTTCAGTTCTGCCCACCAATTTTCTAAAGGATTGAGGTCAGGGCTTTGTGATGGCCACACCAATACCTTGACTTTGTTGTCCTTAAGCCATTTTGCCACAACTTTGGAAGTATGCTTGGGGTCATATTCCATTTGGAAGACCAATTTGTGACCAAGCTTTAACTTCCTGACTGATGTCTTGAGATGTTGCTTCAATATATCCACATAATTTTCCTTCCTCATGATGCCATCTATTTTGTGAAGTGCACCAGTCCCTCCTGCAGCAAAGCACCTCTACAGCATGATGCTGCCACCCCTGTGCTTCACGGTTGGGATGGTGTTCTTCGGCTTGCAAGCACCCCCTTTTTCCTCCAAACATAACGATGGTCATTATGGCCAAACAGTTCTATTTTTGTTTCATCAGACCAGAGGACATTTCTCCCCATGTGCAGTTGCAAACCGTAGTCTGTTTTTTTTATGGCCGTTTTGGAGCAGTTGCTTCTTCCTTGCTGAGCGGCCTTTCAGGTTTTTTTTATTTAATTTTTTATTTTACCTTTATTTAACTAGGCAAGTCAGTTAAGAACAAATTCTTATTTACAATGACGGCCTACAGCGGCCAAACTCGGACGGCGCTGGGCCAATTGTGCACCGCCCTATGGGAGTCCCAATCACGGCCGGTTGTGATAGAGCCTGGACAGGTTATGTCGATATGGGACTCGTTTTACTGTGGATATAGATACTTTTGTACCTGTTTCCTCCAGTATCTTCACAAGGTCCTTTGCTGTTGTTCTGGGATTGATTTGCACTTTTCGCACCAAAGTACATTCATCTCTAGGAGACAGAACACGTCTCCTTCCTGAGCAGTATGACGGCTGCATGGTCCCAAGGTGTTTATACTTGCGTACTATTGTTTGTACAGATGAACATGGTATCTTCAGGCGTTTGGAAATTGCTGCCAAGGATGAACCAGACTTGTGGAGGTCTACCATTTTTTTTCTGAGGTCTTGGCTGATTTATTTAGATTTTCCCATGATGTCAAGCAAAGATACACTGTTTGAAGGTAGGCCTTGAAATACATCCACAGGTACACCTCCAATTGACTCAAATGATGTCAATTAGCATCATTTTCTGGAATTTTCCAAGCTGTTTAAAGGCACAATCAACTTAGTGTATGTCCTAACCGACTTGCCAAAACTATAGTTTGATAACAAGAAATGTGTGGAGTGGTTGAAAAACGAGTTTTAATGACTCCAACCTAAGTGTATGTAAACTTCCGACTTCAACTGTATCTGGGCACTTTATTGAATCTGTGTTAGCTTTACAATATTTACATTTCTGCTTTTTACTTTAAGCCGCATGTCCTAAAAGTGCAATGATCAAATACTGCAAAGCAGGCAATTACTTTGACCCATTACAAGCACTTTGCTTAAAGGCCCAGTGCTGTCAAAAACATGATTTTCCTGTGTTTTATATATACACTACCAGTCAAAAGTTTGGACACACCTACTCATTCAAGGGTTTTTCTATATTTTTACTATGTTTTACATTGTAGAATAATAGTGAAGACATCAAAACTATGAAAGTGTTAAACAAATCAACATATATTTTATATTTGAGATTCTTCAAATAGCCACCCTTTTCCTTGATGACAGCTTTGCACACTCTTGCCATTCTCTCAACCAGCTTCATGAGGTAGTCACCTGGAATGCATTTCAATTAACAGGTGTGCCTTCTTAAAAGTTCATTTGTGGAATTTCTTTCCTTCTTAATGTGTTTGAGCCAATCAGTTGTGCTGTGACAAGGTAGGGGGGTATACAGAAGATAGCCCTATTTGGTAAAATACCATGTCCATATTATGGCAAGAACAACTCAATTAAGCAAAGAGAAACGACAGTCCATCATTACTTTAAGACATGAAGGTCAGTCAATACAGAACATTTCAAGAACTTTGAAAGTTCCTTCAAGTGCAGTCGCAAAAACCATCAAGCGCTATGATGAAACTGGCTCTCATGAGGACCGCCACAGGAATGGAAGACCCAGAGTTACCTCTGCTGCACAGGATAAGTTCATTAGAGTGAGACGCGGTGTAGGTGATGGATTATCTCCGCATATGTAGTTCCCACTGTAAAGCATGGAGGAGGAGGTGTTATGGTGTTGGGGTGCTTTGCTGGTGACACTGTCTGTAATTTATTTAGAATTCAAGGCACACTTAACCAGCATGGCTACCACAGCATTCTGCAGCGATACGCCTTCCCATCTGATTTGGGCTTAGTGGGACTATCATTTTTTTCTCAACAGGACAATGACCCAACACACCTCCAGGCTGTGTAAGGGCTATTTTACCAAGAAGGAGAGTGATGGAGTGCTGCATCAGATGACCTGGCCTCCACAATCCCCCACCCTCAACCCAATTGAGATGGTTTGAGATGAGTCGGACGGCAGAGTGAAGGAGAAGCAGCCAACAATTGCTCAGTATATGTGGGAACTCCTTCAAGACTGTTGGAAAAGCATTCCAGGTGAAGCTGGTTGAGAGAATGCCAACAGTGTGCAAAGCTGTCATCAAGGCAAAGGGTGGCTATTTGAAGAATCTCAAATATAACATATATTTGGATTTGTTTAACACCTTTTTTTCACGATCGTCGTTAATAGAGGAAGCGGACCAAGGCGCAGCGTGATAAGCGTACATACTTTATTTGTACTGAACACGACACAAAAACAATAAACAACGATCATGAAGTCCTCAGTGACAATGACTGACAAGGAACAAAAACCCACAAACACAAGGTGAAAACAGACAGTATAAATATGGCTCCCAATCAGAGACAACGAGCCAACAGCTGACACTCGTTACCTCTGATTGGGAGTCACTCAACCAAACAAAGAAATACAACCCATAGAACCACCCAACCAAACAGAACACCACGAAACGAACACACCCTGGCTCAACATACAAAGTCCCGGAGCCAGAGCGTGACAGTACCCCCCCCTAAAGGCGCGGACTGCGACCGCGCCTCAATAAGGCTAAACAAGGGAGGGCTGGGTGGGCATACCTCCTCGGCGGTGGTTCTGGCTCCGGCCCTGATCCCCACCTCCTCTCCAACCCCCCAAGGTACCCCTGGTCCTGTCTAGCCCCGCTGGTCGGAGCCGGACTGACGACACGCGCCCCTGGCTTGGTGCGTGTAGGAGGAACGAGCTGGACCAGGCTGACGACTCGCATCCCTGGTTTGGTGCGAGTAGCAGGAACGGGCTGGACCAGGCTGACGACGCGCACCACTGACCTGGTGCGGGGAGCAGGACTGAGCCGGACCGGGCTGACGACGCGCACCACTGACCTGGTGCGGGGAGCTTGGATGGGCCGGACTGGGCTGGCGACGCGCACCACAGACTTGGTGCGGAGAGCAGGAACGGGCCGGACAGGGCTGACGAAACGCACCATAGACTTGGTGCGGAGAGCAGGCACGGGCCGGACAGGGCTGGCGACGCGCACCACTGACCTGGTGTGGGGAGCTTGGATGGGCCGGACTGGGCTGGCTACGCGCACCACAGACTTGGCGCGGAGAGCAGGAACGGGCCGGACAGGGCTGACGACGCACACCACTGGCTTGGTGCGGGGAGCTTGGATGGGCCGGACTGTACTGGGGACACACACCACTGGCCCTACACTGGGATCTGGAACGGGCCGGACCGGACTGGCAACACACGCCAGTACCTCTCGCCGTGCCTCTACTTCCTCCATCCCCTCTTCGACCAGTGGCCCCCGTAACCCGGCGGCCTCCTCCGGCAACCCACTGGACCGCTCTATCGCGGCCTCCTGCTGGTCCGACGTCGTGAGCCCCCCCCTAAAAATTTTCTGGGGTTCTCTCCTCTTCGTGGACCAGGCCTCCATCGTTCTCGCCAGCCTCTCGCCCTTCTGCCATAATGTCAAGCCCTTGTCTTCCTCCCTCGGCTTGACCCAGTCCAGGAAGTGAAGGAGATCTGTGAGGGATCTCCCTGGCGATGGCTCCTGGACACGCTGCTTGGTCCCATCTTGGTGGGTTTTTCTGTCACGATCGTCGTTAATAGAGGAAGCGGACCAAGGCGCAGCGTGATAAGCGTACATACTTTATTTGTACTGAACACGACACAAAAACAATAAACAACGATCATGAAGTCCTCAGTGACAATGACTGACAAGGAACAAAAACCCACAAACACAAGGTGAAAACAGACAGTATAAATATGGCTCCCAATCAGAGACAACGAGCCAACAGCTGACACTCGTTACCTCTGATTGGGAGTCACTCAACCAAACAAAGAAATACAACCCATAGAACCACCCAACCAAACAGAACACCACGAAACGAACACACCCTGGCTCAACATACAAAGTCCCGGAGCCAGAGCGTGACACTTTTTGGTTACTACATGATTCCATATGTGTTATTTCATAGTTTTGATGTCTTCACTATTATTCTACAATATAGAAAATAGTAAAAATAAAGAAAAACCCTTGAATGACACTATTAGGGTGGAATAATACTATGAAATTGTGAAAATTATGATAATGCCCCTTTAGTGTAAGAGCTGTTTGAAAAGACTGCGTGAAATTTCTGCCTGTTTTGGTGGGATGGAGTTTTGTCCTGCCTGGCGACATCACCAGGCGATAAATTAGTTAATAAACCAATAAGAAATATAGTTCAATCTAAACTTCTCTGCCAATAACAGCTATTTTTCAGTTTTCCCCTTCCAACTAAGACCACTCCCAGACAGTCCTAGCAAAATTCTTGCTTTAGAAATGGCTGTATGCTAAGAATCTATTTTTATTTATTTTTGACCATTTTAATTGAAAACAATCACAGTAAGGTACTTAATTGTTACCCAGAAATAATTGTATATTGAGATAAAAATGGCTGATTTGGACCTTTAATGTTCTTACTCATACAATGTAAGAACAATACTATTCTTGAATCAATAGTCAAACCAAAACATATATCCATATCCTAAGTGATGGATGGAGCAACATTCATGGACAAAATACACCTTGCACAATATTTCAACAGTTTCAAAAACATTAGACTTCACACCATACCTGTCACTGAATCTATAACATCTATCCAGCTACACTCCTCCTGTGTGGTGGTGGCTGAAGAAGCGGGACTCGTCCGGCAGTAGTGAACCGTCTTACGACCATAGAAGCTGTCATCAATCTCTATTACCTGACCAGAACCACACTGTAGTGTGGCATTGTGGTCAGCACAAGCAATGGAGCGCCCAGACTCTGAGACAAAGAAGTAAATAAGGTTGAATAATTTCAGAGTGAAAGGGAATAGCAAGCGCACACAGTATATTCCTCGCTACCTTGTTATTCTGCATGCATGATCAGATGCATGCACCTATTGTATGTGTGCGCACACAAACACATCAAATACAAACCAAATTGGCAGATGAAGTGTAGCTCCTGGCTACAGTTGCTTGTTGCCTCCCACTGAAACCCTGAGCTCCTCAGTATGTGACCACAGCCAGCCCCTGGACCAGGGTCGTTCACCCAGTTAGAGTAGCTGACATCAGAGCCATCAAGCCAGGAGAGAGGACCTGAGGATGTGCAGCACACACACCAATTAAAGTATTATATTCTATATAGAGTATATAATTATTCTATATTTTTATATTCTATTCATGACATATATTCCTACAAAATGATATTCCAGCTGTTCATCCTGATACATCATTCAGTTAATACTCTAATACACGTAATAAAGCAGAGTAAGGGATATGACGTAAGAAAGCAAAGTCAATGCCACAGGAGCCGGCTGTGAATAGGTGATAAAGTTAATCCTTTGTGTGGGAATAAAAAAAGGCCTGTCTAAATCAAGGGACTGGACAGCATACCCTATTGAAGACCTTATTGAATGACAAGTGTTCCTCATCAGCCAGGTGCTGCTAAAAGGAGATATCCAAATGTGACCATCTCCTAGCAATGGTGCGAGATAAATACATTATAAATCTCCCAGTGAGAGACAGACAGGCCAGCTGACTTGTGAGATAGCCACCAAACCCAGCCTCTGTCTACTTCCAGTTTTACTGGCAGATCAAAGAAGGTCCACTGATAAAACAAGACCAAGAGTAACCATCTTTGTCTCAAGAGAAGTGGTAGGCAGGTGGGCGGATCATGTTAATTTTGGAGACTGGGAATTGAACTGATTTCTGATTAAAAGAATCATGAAAAAACTGATTTGGAGGAATACTTCCACCACAGCTCAGTAAATGAGTAGGATTGTTCTATAAAAAACACAAGACACTATTACCTCTTTCAAATATCAGTTAAATATCTAGGCCTACTCTCACACAAAGTCATCATGGGCAATTCCATGGAAATGTAATTGCGCTGAGACTTTTTCACATAAGACTACTTTTAACAATTTACACTGAACATTTTACAAAAAAACATTTACTGCAAGAACTGTGCAGATGAGTGTTTGGTAACAGAATTTCGGTAAAATCTCCCTCAGTTTTTTATGTGACCACATTGTCCAAAAACTCAGTTAAATATCTGCCCCAAATTAAGATTCAAAGATGTCTACAGAAACAATCGGGTGTCAGCTATGACATGAAACCTTTAACCTTGAAGATATTTTGGTTATTAAACTACAGTAATTAAGTGGATTTACAGACCAGGTAACATAATTGTGATAACAGAATTGCATCATGGGTCCCTGATCTGTACTACACAGAAATGCATCATTATGGATATGAAAGTCATGCTCTTCATGGTGATGTAACCTTTAATAGGTACACAGGTAGAAATATGCTATATGAGTCAATATCACTATGAGGTGCCTTTGGTGTCCTCATCAGACTCACTCAGTCATCATGAAAATGTAGCAGAATAATGAAAGTCTGAGGTCTTATTATAAGTGGCCAAACATTTGCACACATATCAGTAGAATGATAAGTCTCTAAAAAAGTGTTTCCTTCATTTTATAAAAAAAATTTCATTGGATGTATGTGATTTTGGCATGTCCCACACACTGCTCTGCTAACTACAGTGTGTGTAATAAGTGGTTAAATGATACTAAATCCATTTTTTTTTTTTACATGGTTTTACTGTCCACAATAAGTTATTTGATAAAACAAGTAATATTGATCATGTATATTGTATTTTCATAATCATATTGAACATTTTGCATGTGTCCCTGAAATTGCTGTCCACCCTGTCATTATGGGGTAACTGCCCCTTTAAGAAACCCACTGATGTTTTCAGTGACATCACTACGAGCATTTTGTCTTTCTTCAATGAAGGCTGAAGCAGTGTCTAGTTGCAGAGTAAGTATTTAATTTTCATCATATTATGTGTGTTGGATGTTGTCAAGCTTAACATGTCCACTCTGTCATAGTGAAATATCAATTGATAGAAAAACCTATCAGAACTTTGAAATATATTTGTAAAACAGTACACAGTCAGCTTGCTAACTGTAGTATGTTGCTAAGTGAAGGTCCACCATGTGCTCATTAAATGCTAACATTAGCCAAAAATGTCCACCCTGTCATTGTCCACCCTGTCAGCAAGCCTTCCATGACAGGGTGGACATGGTTCATGACAGGAAGGACATGTGCATAGTTTAGGCCACATACTGATAATGTTACACATATTACAACAGCTATTACACACATTTTATAACAGTACATGCTATACATAGTAAGAATGGACAATATGGACAATTTTTTTGGCGATATTGGTATCAGCAAACCTAGTTTGATAATGCAAGCCTAGTTTACCGGGACTGCCAATTAAAGTGTGTAAGGGAACATTTTGAATCGTCTTTTTCAAGGAATGAGATCAAAAGGAGCTGAGATAGCAAGGAGATATCGGGAACGTCGTGATGCTGACCCAGACAGAAGAAGAAAGTACCTTGAGAAAGAAAGGGTCAAATGGAAAAAAGACAGAGAGACTGGAAAGAAGAAGGGTGTCAATGAGCTCAGTGAGAGAGAGAAGAGGGCAAAAACAAAGAAATGGAGAGAGGCAAAAAGTCAAGCCAGAGCCAGAAACAGAGCCAGTGCTTTGCTACAGTCAGAGACACCACCCAACTCCCCTGCTGAAACTCCTGAAAATCAGCATGATGCCAATGCCTTGCAGAGCCAAGGGTTACTGTCCTCAATAAATATTGAGGAAATGTCTGAAGCAACCATGTGTGACCCGAAAGCCAAGGTCTTATGGTGAGTGCAGTGAATGCCTCCTAACTTGTCACCCGATGCTGAAAACCCCTGGGGAAGAGAACATTCGTTTATCTCAGTGGATGACAGAGAAGATCAAGAAGGATGAGAAGGTGTCAACAATAACAGTGAAAAGGGAGATAACAACAACAGAGCATGAGCTTAACACAGATTTCCAGGAGAGGCTTCTCCATTTTAGGAGCCATGTCTTCAACATTAAATGGCAGTTTGATGCCTACAGGGAGCTCAGGAGGAGTCTGAAGCACAATGAGTCCCTCTTGCATATAGATTTTAGCGAAAATTACTCATGTAAGTACAGCGAAGAAATACAATCTGTGCATTTTGGAGGCTCACACAAGCAGGCCAGTCTGCACACTGGAGTGCTCTACACCACTGGTGAACAAGCGCCACACACCTTCTGCTCCATATCACCCTCCAGAAGACACGACCCTGTGGCCATCTGGGCCCACCTTGATCCAGTTCTGAAGGTAGTGAGAGAACGACACCCTCAAGTCAGCACACTTCATTTTTTCAGCGATGGGCCTGCAACGCAGTATCGACAAAAGGGAAATTTCTTCTACCTCTCAACGGAACCCTACAAGTATGGCTTCAAAGAAATAACGTGGAATTTCTTTGAGGCTAATCATGGGAAGGGGGCACCAGACGGTGTGGGTGGGGCCCTCAAGAGGTCAGCAGACCGGATTGTAGCCCATGGAGGAGACATTCCTGATGCCCAGAGCTTGTATAACAAGCTGAAAAGCCTGGACACATCTGTCGAGCTGTTCTTCATCCCAGAGAGGGATATTGAATCAAAGCCTGAGGTACCTGCAATAGCTGCCATAAAAGGCACTATGAGAATCCACCAAGCTATCAGTCTGACACCCGGCCAAATGAAATACAGAGACATTTCATGTCTGTGTAAAAGGGAGGAAGGTGTTTTGGACTGCCCCTGCTTTAACCTTCAAGAGGTCACTCTAGCTACTGTTCCTGTTTCATCTGACAAGTCCCCAGCATGTGGAAAGACACCAGATAATCCTAGGAGACCAGAAATGATTGAGGTAAAGCACATTGGAGAGTGGTGCGTCGTTAATTATGACAATGAAGCATACCCAGGTATCATCATGGATGCAGAAGGGCACAGTGTGAAAGTTAAGTGTATGCAACGCCATGGCATAAACAAGTTCAAATGGCCAAGTCTTCGGGACGACATCTGTTGGTACCATGACTGGCAGGTACTTTGCCTAATACCAGAACCACAGGCTCTGAACAAGCGCTCTGTACAGATTGAAGTGTCTGCATGGAAGTAAAGAAAAAAAAAAGTAAAGAAAAAAAAAGTAAAGGAAAAAAAAAGAAAAAAAAAAGAAAATAGTATGTGGAACAGCAACTGCAGAACTGAGCCATGTCTCTGCAGAAAGGGAGAGACTGTTTGGAGATGCGTCCAAGTGATCTTTCTGTAATATTCTGTTTTTTCAAATCAACTGTTCTCCACTTAAAAAACATTTTTCTTCTTGTTCTACAGTTGAATGTTTGACTTTCACTGTGCAGAATGATGTACAGAGTTTAACGCTAGAAGGCCACATTAATGTCTCATTTTGGGCATCTTTATTCAGTGGCTGCATGCAGGTAGAGTGGATCAAAAACAGTCTGTTCAACTTGTAATTTCCCCCTACATGGGAAAAGGCATTTTTTACATCATTTTCTTGCATTGTTCCTTGCATTTATGAGGCCATTCAATGACATTTCACAACGTGTCCACCCTGTCATGCCCAGGGTCCACCCTGTCATGTCACTGTCCACCCTGTTATTTTCATGTTCTATGAAAATAAACAAATTATTTTCACAAGTTAGCAAAATCTTTTGTGTGATTCCTTTATAAACAAATGAGGGCCAAATAGTATTGTTTGAAAGTTTGACCAGATATCTTTTTTGTTAGATTTTATTTAGAAAAGAAAGTGCAACTCTCGCAGATTTTATAGAGAAACAAATAGTTTGCCATAATTTCATTATTATCCAAATACTTTTCCCATAAACTAAAATATATTATTGAGAAAGTGACTAAATAGTTTTCTGAAAATGTATGTTTTATAATCACTATGTAATTACAATGTATTTATTCTGCTTTGAAATTGTCCATGACAGGGTGGACATATTCTGCTGTTTGCATGTAAATTGTCTGCTTGCAGTTAATTTATAAAAAGTGTGGGAGCTTGACCAATATGCATTTCTAACAGCATAACATATACTTAATACAATGAATATGAAGTTCAATGGAAAATCTCAGCTTTTTGGGGGGGAAATGGGGAAGTCTCAAAGGCACCTTATGGTGATATTGACCCATATATATCTTTGCATATTTGGGTATTATTCTACACACTGGCTATTATTTTAACGAGCTCCTCCCAAAACAAGACAAAATTTGAACCAATCATAGACGTTTACGTCATTGAACTTTTAAAAGTTTTTCTGGTAGATGTTTTCTAAGACCCCTTTTCCATCTGTTTGACCAGCAATCAAAGCCTTTGCTCATTATTCCTAATATTTAGGATAGAAAATGGTTGAAAAAAATTATATGTGCCTTAATTTTTCAAAAATATAGCTTTCATTATAAACTGGGTGGTTCGAGCCCTGAATGCTGATTGGCTGAAAGCCGTGGTATATCAGACCAAATACCATGGATATGATAAAACGTATATTTTTACTGCTCTAATTACGTTGGTAACCAGTTTATAATAGCAATAAGGCACCTCAGAGGTTTATGGCAAATAATAAAATAACTCCTTGCAAATACGTCCTTGCACAAAACAGTTTGCTCTCAACATTTGATTTCCTTTGCATAATCATATCTATTATTATACAATATGTTGATGGCAATTAGTGTTTTCTTCAGTTGTCCTCTTACCCTCAGCAGCAGCAGAGTCCAGTGTTAGGTTTGGGGAGGCAGGTGCCAAACCCAGCCACCAGTCCTGCTCCGGCTGCAGGTGCTTCTGCAGGAACTGCTGGGTTTCATCGTTTAAAATAAAGGCCAGGTGTCCACCACCCCGCTCACACCAACCCTGTGCACTGAGGAAGGAACGCGAACGCTGTAGACCCACAAACTCATAACAGGAGCCGTCAAAGCCCTCTTGGTACTCTGGGCAGGATAAAGCTGCTATCTCATCCTCAGCACAAGACAGGCTTAAGAGCAGAACCATCAAGAGCAACCCAGAGAGATTAGTGCTGTCCATCTTCACCCCTTCACCTGTGCACTGTTACTGGCAGCCTGGTGACATGCTGTCTTTAAAGGGGACTGACGTCAGCAATTCCCTGCCACCACTTCAACACCACAGAATGATCTGTTCTGGCTCCAACAAAGGGCTGTCCGCCTTACAATCTGGCTTTGTGAGTTCCCATTGGACGCATTATCCTTGTTCACAAACAAACAGAGCACAGGCCTATGGTGAATGGGCTGTAATAAGGTCCTCTGTCAACAGCCTCCAAGTTTTACTCTGCCTTTAAGGCTGCCAATAATGTAACACTCATTGCAGCCTCCATGCAGTATAAGATAATTGTGCCCAGTAGGCAGTGCTATAGACTACAGTAGGCTACTCTGGTTAGAGAGAGAGACCTTTATACTGTATATCCAACCACTATTCAAACCCTAGCAGAAGCCCTAACCTGTCTTATTCAAATGATAAGAAATCAACATATTTTTACAGTCAGAATTTCCTTTTCAAAGTATTTCAAGGACATATCAAAAAAGTTTGTATTTTTAGTAGTAGAGTATTAGAGCCACCATGAACTATGTTCCCGCTCTCAACCCAGTACTATTCTGCCAGCAGCACAAATTATGACATTACTTAGTCTCCTGAGTGGCGCAGTGGTCTAAGGCACTGCATTGCAGTGCTAGCTGTGCCACTAGAGATCCTGGTTTGAATCCAGGCTCTGTCGCAGCCGGCCGTGACCGGGAGACTCATGGGCAGCGCACAATTGGCCTAGCGTTGTCCAGGGTAGGGGAGGGAATGGCCGGCAGGGATGTAGCTCAGTTGATAGAGCATGGCGTTTGCAACGCCAGGGTTGTGGGTTCGATTCCCACGGGGGACCAGTATGAAAAAAATAAAAATATGTATTCACTAACTGTAAGTCGCTCTGGATAAGAGCGTCTGCTAAATGACTAAAATGTAAATGTACTTTCATAGGGGAATGAGGAAACCTTAATAAAATAAAAGCCTGCATTTCAACAGATTGTAATCTCATTAGCTGATTAAAAAGATATTGAATTTTAATCAATGGCCACTTTTATTGTGGCAACAAGAAAAGGCCATAAGTAATTTATGAAATCAAACAAAAGATATGGTTTAAAAAACGTTTTTTTCAATAATGCAAAAACACAATGTTGACACTGGTATGCTGAGAATATTGGGCTGTAGAGAAAAAACGTTACTACCTGTCTCCGCTAAAGTGGGGTGGAAAGACTCAGTAGGGTCTCTACCAACCAAATATGGTTAATTTTTTAGGGGGACTGTGTCGCATGGTCTGCTGCTGCTGGCTGCTCTGGATAGGTCGAGGCCTCCCACTGGGTGCGAGCGGGTCTCCTCCTCACTGTGCACCAAGGTTAACCTCAATGTTGCTAGGGGCTACCTGGTTGATCCTGCCAGTAGCATATGCTTGGCTCAAAGATTAAGCCATTTAAGTCTAAGTACACATGGCTGGTACAATGGTTATTATCATTGTACAAGGAAATTATTTGTTTTTCAATTGAAATTTGAGAAAATCATGACTGCTTTAAAGACAGAAGTAACTAATAATGAATACAAATCATTTTCTTGTCTATTTGAACATTTATATTACATGAATAATGATGCCACACCAGAGGACAAATTCAAAGCACTAATGCATGAAATGGTTAATTAAATTTGATATAAATGTTAATTCAACGGTGGCCACGTAATGTTTTGAGTTGTTTAGACATTATTTGCAATTATATGTTATATTTTTTCTTCAATTTTAGAATAATTAATTTTTTCACTTTTGTTTTGGCCATATGGCAACACTACATTTGCATACACTAGCGTTGCTCCTTATTGTATTGGGTTGCACAAAAACAGTTAGCGGGAAGCCAGAAATTAAATACAATTCCATTTCAACTTACTGGTGGGCAGGACGGTTGGACATTAAGACAAAATATTAAACATATTATTAAAATATTATTAAACAAACTTTCCAAACATGGGTCTGTTGTATACCCACTTCCAGTTGACCGCCATATGCTGACAAAAAAGGAATAACTTGTGGGGGAATTTAATTTTGACATGAGGTAAGCAGAGAGGAAGTGGGCCCACAACAGACCCATGTTTGGAAAGTATTTTTAATAATATGTTCCTTTAGATATTAGGTAAGTCCTTCTGTCTTAAAGAGATTCTCCAGTACTTTTGTATACTTTTTAGAAAGTAGTTCTGAAAGTAGCGCTCACGAGCCAAAAGTGTTTCCCGAAGAGTGCGTACTACATCACATATTTGCAGATATGTGCACCACATCATTGCTCTTTTTCGCTCTGCTTTGTGTTCATCTTGCTAGCTGTCACTCAAATGGCGAAAAGCTCATTGGCTGATATTCGAATTGCTAGTGGGGGAAAATGCAGGGAAAATGGTGCCACGCAGCTGCCAGAAAACAGTCGCTTTTTTTTAGACTATTTTTTTGGCCTCATTGCCAAAATCCTGAAGTATCCCTTTAATGACCAACCATCCTGCCCACCAGCACAGTAAGTTTAAATGGAATTTGTATTTACTTCTGGCTTCCCACGGACTGTTTTGTGTGCAACCCAATACAATAGGGAGCAACACTAGTGTATGTAAATATACCAGCGTTGCGAAAAACAGCTATGTTGTAGCTAGCTACAGTAGCTAGCCAAGCTTACAGTTTGTCCATGCAACTAAGGGCCAGTCAAGCCAAACTTGTTTTCTGCTTAATCTATGCATGGTAGGGCTAGTTTAGCCTATAACCAACTGTGTTCGTTTTCATTGTTTCATTGTGTGGCTTATTTATATTTGTAGGATAGAGGATGGTAGACCTGATGCAACCACTGAGCTGGGTGAAACTTCACTCAACTTCGACATTGCCTGTCAATCAAGCATGTCTAACTGTCACCCAACCAGACTGGGGTTAAAATACTTTTTCAGGTTTTCAATTATTTTACAATACATTTCAAAACAAGTATTCAGATAAACTTTATTTGAAGAAAAAAAATGCATTTAACCCAGGTATTTGAAAATACTTACAAATACAATTTAGTTGTAACCATTCAAATACTCAAATAAAGGTACTTGTTTTGGGCTGTGTATTTGAAAATACTCAAATACAGGATGTGTATTTGAAATTACTCAAATACACAGAAAAAATTATTTATATAACAAATATTCAAATACACATGTATTTGAACTCAGGTCAGCACCCAACTCTTACACGTAAAAACAGTTTCTGTAATAGTTCTTTATCCTAGGGAAGGTGATCAGAATTAATTGCGCTGTCCACAACAGTCATCTCAGGCCTTTTATCTGATCTTAATGCAACCCATTATAATGATGATAGAATACAGTTTACTATGGTTCAACACCCTTTATTTTGTCTATTTATTTTGAAACTAAATATATTTAAAAAAGCAGAATTGTTAGATAGAGGGATTATTATTTCCTGTACATATTGATAGAACATAGCTAGATTTGATAAACAGCTACAAGCAACCATACAAGTGGCGCAAAAGTCTTGATATAACATGTTTTAATACTCCTATTTAGTAACATAAATGAAAGCAGTTCCAATATCAATTCATACAGAGTGGCAGATCTTTACTGAGAATTAAGCATCTATGAGGATATAGTGGAGGCTTCTTTTTTAGTAACAGAGGCATTGTTGGCATTCACCTTGAGACTGTTACTTTCTTCTTTCTCATTCTTACATTTGATCCCAAACAAGTTGCAGAGCTTCATCAGCATCAGATCCACTATCTCCTCCTCCTCTGAGGGCTGTAAAAAAAAAAGTTTTGGACCTCATCAGTCAAATCTGATGTATTGGTCTTACATTGATTCACCTACAGTAGCCAATGGTCCCTGTTAAATGGTGGTGTTGATACTGTATTATTTAAGTGATAATGCCCTCAAAGCCGGTATTTGGAGGATATATTGGCACGGGTGTTGTTAGCAGCTGCAAACCGTGCCAATATATCCTCCAAACACCGGCTTCGAGGGCATTATCACTTTTATACAACAGGTTACCAACATATAATAATAATTATCGACATATTTTCATTAAAAACGTTATTTTTGATTAATTTATTCATACTATTTCATCCTTCCACAAGATATAGTCCTGACACAAATCTAGGGTTGCTACGCAAGCCGCCTGCTCATTCAGTCTTTTTGTTCTGTATCTATGGACGCGACCCAGTCGTTCAGTCTTTTTGTTCTGTATTTATGGACATGACCCAGTCGTTTGTTCTAAATGTTCCATTGCCATACTGGCTGGCAATGTTCTTATCCCTTGCTTGCTAGCTAGCCAACTACGGCTAACTTACAGTCACGTCAAAAAGTGCAGCTAGAATAACAGCAAAGTAGCTGCATTTGCATTTGTTTAAACTGTTTTCTAGTGACATTTATTTGGATACATCCATAACAATGAGCTAATGAGGCACGATTTCGCTTGGCATAGAAAATGGCTCACTCGTCAGGACACTGTTGTTCAGAGGAGCTAGCCAACATCACAGCTAACACAAGCACTTCAAACTGAAGCTGGAAAGATTGCAAACTAGCTGCACTTCGTTTCGTTTGACCTTTTTTAAATTGACATTTCTTTGTATATATCCATAAAAATGACGCCAGCTGATTCATGATTTCGACTGGCTGACAAACGCTGCCTGCCTGTCTGTCTCCTCCCGACTCCCGACACATTCATTACTATGGGACAGCTGGAGATCACATTTGAATATTGAAACAATGTTTCAAATGTTGGAGAGACAGACAGCAAGGTTTATACAAATCTCCGCTGTTGAAAACTAAATGTTAGTCTAAAAGAAATGTGAGATAATGTCTAGATGCTTTTATAGTGGAGATCAAGTTTATAAATTGCTTGGCTGGGCTGACAAGACAGTGGATTGTGCAGTCAGATGGAACAGAGTAAATAGGCATTTTAACGTCATAGATTTAGCCGGTGGTAACTTGTTGAATAGACACCGGCTGGAATGCAGTTTTAACCAATCAGCATTCAGGATTAGACCCATCTGTTGTATAAATTAGAATAAGCACAGAATATTATATGATTATGATGCACAGTACCTTGTGATGTATTTTCTCTTGAGTGAACGCCACCATGATGACAGAGATGAACAGGTTCAGAACCACAAAGGTCATGAATATAATGCAGGAGCCGATGAGGAACGCACCAAGCACCGGGTTGTAATCAAGAACCTGGATTGGAAGGAGATGTTACCAATCATAGACCTGCCATCATGACCATAGCTGTAATTTAGAGAGCTGTCCTTTCCTTTACTAACCTTGTCATAGTTAAAGATACCCAGTTGCAAGCTGACCATGGTCAGAGCAGAATCCAGGAAAGTCCTATATGAGTACAGCTTCCAGCCATACATCAGATTAGACTGCAGACAATGATCACATGATAGATTTAGTCTCAAAGCGCAATGAATCATAACTCAGCTGTGAAAAGTGAAAGATTCTGATAAACTGAAGAGACAATTATCACAAAAGCAAGCACATCACAATTTTTTAGGAATACAAATGCATTGCTGCAAGCGAATGCCAAATGGGAAAGTTGGAGAAGGAAAGCACAAGAAATAATGTTTTCCAGGTAGACCCTTACAGTAATAGAATAGGCCAGGAACATAATGGTGATGACCACGAGGAAGCCTGATATGTCAGTCCAGGCCCGTTGCAATGTGGCTGTGATCATGTGTAGCTTGGGGTTGAACCTCATCAGGTGCCACAGTTTGACTGTAGCCAGTACCACCAGGAATGCGATCAGATACCCCAGCACTGCATCTGCTATGGCTGTCTCACGGAAACTGGCAAACCTGGATAGAGAGCGGAGATGCTAAACATCACACAGGAGCTGACCATCAGTAGAGATGTGAGACTGAGGATAACAAATGACCCATGATACCCCAACACAGTGTGAACTCACTGGTCTTTATGGTTGTGGTAGTACTCCATGTCCCGGTTCCCTAACAGGGTCCTCTTGATGAAGACAGACAATGCGCTCCAGCTCAGGAGGATGATGGCCAGATCCAGCAGGTTCCACTTTGTCTTGAAGTAAGCCCACTTCTGCTGCTTCATCAGCTTTCCCTGTGAGGAGATGAAAAGAGTTAGACTGAGGAGGAATTCCAGAACAATGGCACTAGACCATTGTGTCACTGATTTTATACTCTTTACACATAAGAAAGGTATTTAAATTACAGCTTACCTGAACAAACATGTAGTAGAGGATAAAGAGGAAATAGATGACCTCAGAGGCCATGACAAAGATGTGGAGTCCACCGGTGGACTGGTACAGTCGGACACTCTGCAGCTCACTGCGAAACTGGAACGCTCCTGAGAGAATAAGACAGGTGCTGACAATCTGAGCTTTGGGTGCCTTTAAATACTTACTTTGTGCTGTATTCATGGAGTGATATAACAACTGTCTCACCTACAGCTGTGGTCTCCAGCATGAGTGTGACAATGCAGAAGAGGTTGACATTGGCATTGTACACGGTGAACTCTACAAAGACTGCCCGGGTGAACATATCAAGCCAGGTGTTGTCAAACAGATACTGAAGGGTACTGCAGGGACAGAAAACATGGATTAATTAAATAACACCCTTCAATACACAGGCCCAGAATACAGCATTTGGGGCCCCGGGGCACGAACCTCAATTATATTAATTTTCTCTTCTGCATTTCAACACATTTTTTGTCTAAAACGTGCAGTTTTAGAATGCTATTCTACACATTTTGTCATGAGGCAGATTTTTTTGTTGCAGGTTTAAAGATAATTTCCTGCTATTCTACACCTCCTAGTGTGCCTCATCGGTAATCTGTCCCTCTCAATACACAAGACGGATTTGATTTGCTATGGCATGATAATTGTGATCAATTTGAAGCATTGGTAATTGTGAGCTTACCTGCTAGCATTCTGTGAGTCAGGGCCCAGGTCCACCACAAACCACCCTCCCCTGTAGAGAACCACACGACCCCAGATGGGTTGGGCTCTGAGTCGGGCCTGGGTTTGGTATTGCCAGGGGCTGCGGAGGGTCTTTGAGGTGTTTTCACTCCCCGAGCGGTTCCAGCCTGGCCCATAGGAGCCCATGTCCTCCACCTCCCATGAGTATGGAGCATGACAGTCAGGAACAGACTGGCGCATGGAGCGGGCGATGCGGCAGGAGTTCTTCTGCACCCTCACCTGGCGAAGACGGGCATTACCAACCAGTTTGGAGTTCCCATCTGTGATGAAACCTATAACACACAATTTGCTTTTGTTGACACAGGACTCAATCTTTACCTTTTTTATGAGATTTTAAAGCTACATGTTTCTCCAAGAAATAAACATCCTCTTGTTTTTGAGTAGAGAATGCTACCTGGGTACTCTCCGAAGAGGTTGCTGAGAAGAGAGGTATTTGCCCAGGTGAACACATTTCCGTGGCTCATGCTGTCTGAGATCCCTTGGCTGAAGCTCTGCCGAATGTGCTGAGTCAGGAAGTAAGCGTTAGGGTCCCTCTGACCATACGCCACCAGGAGCAACATCCACATGAACCCCATGTAGGCTGCAAAAGAATAATAGGCCTTAAACATGTATGTTAACCAATAGGTGCAGTGGATGAAAAAGCGGTTCCTCTTACTGAGAATCTCTTTGATGAGGGCGAAGACCTTCTGCTCCTTGATCATGTTGTTCCTCATCCTCTCGATGTCTATGGGAGGAGGGGGCTGGTAGAAGTTGCATGTGCTATCCCTTCTGACAGCCCACACTGCATCAGGGTCATCTGTGGACCAGACTGTGTCATCTCACACTGCTTAATGTTGTAAAAGTCTAGCTAATGTACAAGTAAACAGAATTTCCCCAAAACTGTGAATAAGGAAAACAAAGAACCTGGGTTTCTGAGTGCCCCCTCGATTTTTGGATCCCCATACTCCTCCTGATCAACTTTCTTCAGAACGAGAGTAAAGAAGGCTGCAAAACCTAGCACCTGTGATAAGAAATCCACATAGCAATACCTAGATTACAGATAGATATTTTACATTGAAATTAGAAAGTTCTAATCTGATTTCTCACCTTCAGCGGCTGAATGATCAGGAGGCTTTGAAAGAAAGACATGGCCATGGAGATGAGCCAGCTATAGAGCGGTCCTTCCCATAGGTCAGCCCATAAATCATGGTGAATTATCCTGATACTCCGCTGGTGGCTAACACCAGAATCCAGCCAATAAACACAAACCACCAGGGAAGCCCGCCTTGACAGCACTTTTTACTGCCACTGTCCCCATCACTGCTCTCTGCTTGGCCTGGGCTTCGAGCCAGCTGGTCCCCTCCAAGGCTGGAAGAGGAGAGGTGGGACTCTAGCAGCCCCTTCATGCCCCGGACCTGCTGCACTGCCCGGCAGTAGCTGTCTGGGTTGGGGAAGCGAGAGGGTCCCAGTAGGCTCAGCTCCTTCTCTACATGACGTAGCTGCCTGTACAGATACTGGCTGTTGTTGCTCCTTTTCTGGCTCCCATCCCCAGTCTTCTCAGGGCTCCCACACAGGCTGGTCTCTGAAAACAGAGGGGCATAGGAAATACTTGGGTCAGACAGAGTTTCAAACTTTTAACCAATACTGATGATCATCAATGTAGGATCTGGAGGCTTCGGCTGTACCTTGCAGATTGACTGCCCCTAGTGAGAGAATGAGTGATCCCTCTTTCTTGGAGGCATCAGTGTAGAACTCCCCACCGTCTCGGTTCTGTTGCCGGATGATATCCTCCACCAGAGAGAGCAGAGTGTTGATATCAGTCTGTTGTCCAGGCTTCATCTCTAACTCCAGGCGTGGAATGGGGCTCTTCATAGCCTTGGAGAGTGACTGGGCAATATTCTTTATGTCCTGAGAGAATACAGTAAATTAACAGCCTTGCTAATGTGGTGAGAATACAGAATAAAGACAATCAACTGTCTACTTACAAATCATGACTGACATACAGTATCTAAAATTAGATTTTATGCGAGGGATTTGTTGACTTCAATTGGAATATTAATATATTTACTTGTTTTACTTTGATTACTGTGTCTGGCATGAGTTCTCTCTCCCTCTGTGGGGAGGGGGCTGTGAGGGAGACACTCTGCCAGTCTTCCCCTGCTTGGACACCTCTGCCTTGGGCTTTCCAGGCTTCGTTTCTCGGGGGCGGGTGTTTCTGAAGATACTCACAATGAGGAGATTAATTGGAAACGTTATGATTGAACTTTGAACTCCAATCATCAGCTGCTGCCAGGTGAACTCGATATGACCTTCAGGAGAGAGAGAGAGAGAAACTGTTCTGAAAACATGTTTTTATTTCCAAACAGCACCAATACTGTACAGGCATCCATACCCAGGTTCATGGTCTGCTCAGAGGGGTCGGTAGGGATGCCCCAGAATATGATGCTGGTCAGCATGGTGCAGAGCAGCAGAGAGAAACAGCAGGAGACTCTCTGGACACGTGAAGGTGCTCGTTGGAGGCCGGCTGATCACAGAAAACCAGATGTGGCCATCACAGAAATCCTTTGCTGTCCTCATGAAGAACAGATTACTGCAGAATATACGGTATAGGAAGCTTGTTACACAATGGACAATTATCTTGTTATTCATATTTTACCATTCCAAGGTGCATTCAAGTTTTATCTCACCTGCATTTCTTCAAATCCATCTCAGTGGCTACAGGGAAAACCTTATCCACAGTGCACTCACTCATATCTATGGCCAGCCATGATTTACACAGGAAGTGCCACTTCTGTCCTGTCTCTACATCTTTCACTATAACTTTGTTTATGTACCTGCAAGAAAACTCTTATCGTCAACAAGGCCTACATCTTCACTTCAAAGTTCAACTTTGGTCATCGATTTTCCCCCTCTCCTACCAGGCAGGGTGCCCCCCTGAGTTGTCGTGCCACAGCCTGATGCTCTGCAGCTCCCCCAGGGAGAAGGGTGTGGTCAACAGGAACGTATCCACTACACCACTCTCAAACACAGGCTTGTCAGGGTCAGTGAGGTGGTGTGGCTCACTCTCTCCCTCCGTGCCCAGCAGAGTCACAGTAACCTGCAGCAGCAACACAGGGTCAGGGTCAGGGTCACTGAGTGTGGTTTTATCAGAGAACAGAATATGATGTCCTGCAGCAGTGGGAACTGTTGCTACTGACCTGAGAGGAGGTGGAAGCACCATGCCGATGCCCAGTGCTGATATTCAGCATGTAACGGTATTCAGCCAAGGGGTCATTATCTTCCAGAACTGTCACCTTCACCTACAACAAGTAACAGTTGAAGGTAAAATTCCCACATTCAACAGCAAATTATTCGGCAAAGATAATAAAATGGTAGCAGTGGTTTTTCAAGTCAGACCTTGGTTGTGTCCTGGATGTCCTTCCTGCGTGCCCATATGACCACCAATACGTAAGTAACAAAGATGGAACCAATAAAGCACACCACCACAGGATTTTTGGCGAAGGTGGCAAAGAGCTCAGCCGTACGTGACACGTCTACGAGGTTGGGCATGACAAAGAAAGAGTTCCCGAAGAAGGTCAAGTGCGTACATAAGCACTGGGTGGCCAATGGCGTGGTTAAAGGACCAACCTAAGGAGATCACAGTTGGTTTATGTATTTCATTATGGCCTGGTCTAGGATTGCAGGGATGCTGCAATGTGGTTTTGTTTTATCATAAGGTGTTGTGTCATGTAGTACTCATTGCACTCACCCTGCAGCCATCTTCACTCCAGGTGGATATGGTTTCATTCCAATATTTGCACTGAGCAGTAATGGAGGTGACAGTCACAGTGGCATTGACAGATTTAACCCCTGCTTCTACAATGGGCCTCACCACAAGGTAGTGCTTCCCAACCTTTCCTGTCAAATCATTGGGACCCAGGTGTATTTCTCCTCTGTACGCAAAACACACACACACACATACAATTTCTAAACATGAAATGTTATCCGTTCATCATGCTTCACAATTGTTATGTCTATGTGATTCATATGTACGTTCAGGAGGTTTATCACCTTGTGTGTTGCTCTGGTGAGGCATCTGAGTCTTGGCTATGTATTGCTTATCGTTTGGGTAGTCTTTGTACCCCAACAACAGTTGAAAGGTTATGTCCTTCGATTACTTTATCTTCAGCACCAGTGTTACATTAGGTGAAGGGCCGTCGATCTTCAGTGTGCTGTAGTTTCCCAAGTACATTATTGTGCTGTTTGCTTGCCCTCCTTCAGGCCTTGGCAAGAATATCTGAGCATCAAAGAAGAGATTATGTTTTTCAAAGAAGAGATAATGAGATTTTAATTTCTTATATACAACAGGATGTCATTCGTCACTGATATCTGATCCAGGATCTGCAATCTTATGTCTTTAATTTCATAGGGCATTATTAAGGCAACAGTAAAGTTGTTGTACTCTCAAATTACATAGAATATGCAGGGATTTGCAGCGCTCTGACCTCAATCTCCTCAGATAGGTTCTCTATGGGGATGACAGAACCATTTCCTCTGGTCAGGGAGACAGACCCTACAGTGCCAGTAATATTGTTCTCCTCGCTCCATGAAAATGGGTTCTTCTTCAAACTCAGCATCTGTAACAAGTGGGAAATAGTGAATCAAGAGAGAGGGTTTAAAAACCATACCTAATTATTCATCAACAAAACTAACAAGTACAAAAATACCAATTCACGCAATGAAAATCCCTTTCATGCATATTGACTCATGATAATACATACATACAGTATATAGGCCCACATGCACACTTACTCGCACATCCACTGGTTCCTCTGGAGAAAGGACATCAGCACCCAGGTGAGGGAAGGAAAAGCTTGCAGAGGAGCTTATTGGGTTGCTTATAGACTGCATCTGGATAGTTTCTGTTGACACTCTGAGAGGACATGATATGCTGTCACTCAATATTGAGGCCACATAACAGTTGCAATTTCTTCCAGACATTGCATTGTAACAGAAATTAAAATATATTTCTGATCTTTTACAATCGTTGCTTATATCTGAAACTATAGTTCCCTTTCTTATGTCCTCTGCCCACATTATTTTTACCTGTTCACAAACACAGTGATCTGAGAGCTGTTGACAATCACAGGAGCTTCATCAACCTTCTTCCCATTCAACAGTGCACTCTGCACATTGTCCATGCCCTTGAGAAGTAAATCAGAGACTTCTCTCTGTGAAAGACAAACTGTTCAGTAAGGCTGCTTCATTACTGTCATTAGACTAAGTGAAGGTAAATATGTGCTCACATTTGAGGAAACATCCAGGATATTGCTGGCTGCCTCTACAATTGGTGTAGCTGCCTGCACCATCTCTTCTCCACAATGCTCACTGACATTCATATAGAGGAGGGAAGAGCTGAGGTTTGCCACCAGGAAGCTAGCTTCAAGCTGGAAAAGATAGACCATCTGAAATGAAGTCTTTATTCTTGGCACATTTTGACCAATAGGCCTATATGTTTGTGTGCATTACTCCATGCTACCCTGCTTCCATGTGGGGCTAGGTCTATCCAAGTGTACCTGAGCATTGGGACTATGCTCATCACCCCGCATGGTGAGTCCTGCCACAGCTCTGGCCGTCAGCTGCACATTCTGAGGAGTGCTGCTGGAGGTGTTCTCCAGTGCTTCAGTTATATTCATCAGCATCTGTTCTCGCAGCTTAAGGAGACATACCAACATCGAAGAAGGATGTTTAAAGCCCTTAACTTGGACCTTTTACATGTAGTCTTTTAAACTACCAAAACATACCACTATCTTTGTCTTAAAGTTCATATTAATTTAGTATCCCCCCCACACACACACACTCCTCATACCTTCATCCTGTTATTCTTTTCCTCACTGGAATCCTTATTCAGCATGTCCGACACAGACTTGAACATCTGTCCAAGGGTCTCTCCTGAGAGCATCCCCTGCTGCCCTAGATTAGCTACTGTGTCCGCCACTGCAGATTGGAGCTCCTGCACTGGAGTACAGGACTTGGCTGGCCACACCTTGCCAGATAACAATTAAATGAGTGCTCCAATTACTAAATGGATGTGAACTATGGAGCTGAAAGGCAAGACAGAGCCCATACATTTAATCATTAGTAAATTATAGAATTGATTATTGATTTTGTTTGCTTTTGACAAACCTGAGTGGTGAATGTGGTACTTCCACGGGTCTTTGTGTTAAATTCTGTAACAGTCACCACTACCGAGAGCTTGTAGTTGCTGCTTATCTCCCCAAGAGGTAGGAAGATTAACGTTACTTTATTTACAGAACTGCAGCGCAGATGTTTACCTGAAAGATAAAGAATAGAAACTATCTGATTACATAGATATTTATTTTTACTAAATCAATATGGCATTTTCATCTTAATCCGGCTCTGGTGCTAAACTTCTTTGATGGGAGAAGGTCTCCTGAAATATACAACAGTGGCAAAGAGGGATACTCACCTTGGTCAGTTTTAAAACAATATTGGCAGCCGTCTGTGCAGGATGTAGGTGTTGTACAGGTGATAGTGAAAGGATCCAGAACGGTGCCATTCAGAGGGAAAATACTACATGAAGGGGGACTTAAGGTGATAGCCGGAGCAGCGGTTACAGGTAGTGTAGTATCAGCAGGTGCAGGAGTAGTTACACCTGGTATCTGAATGGTGTACTTGGCATATTCAAACGTTTTCTTATCTAAAGAATGGTGATATAAAGGGATATTGATATCTTATTTCCACTTGTGAACATGTTACATTAGGTCCATACTTTCTGAGGATGAATCAATCCAAAATAAGCTCCTATAATTGGCTCAAACTGAAAAAGGGATGTGTAATTGATCAGTCGGAAATGTCTAAATATTACAGTTTTTTTTGCACATTAATTTTTCTGTCAATACACTAAAGAACAGTTTGATGTAAGTTCAACATATCTGATGGACATCCTGTCATCAACTGTATTAACCAAACGTTTAGCCTGTACTTACAGTAAATGCTTTTGGCATTGAATACAAGAAATTGATACTCACCATAAACTATCACATTGAGATTCTGAAAACCCATCGGAAGCTTCTTTCAGATAGTTTTTGCTGACTTTGTACTCTTTCTGACCGTCCTGATCTTTTCTCTCCTTAAGTGGCTTTTTCCCTGCGTCGCTGTAACAGTTTTGCAGGGCACCCTAGAACACCACAGAATTCAAAATGTCGTCCTCATGTACACTGAACTCTGGCTATTGTATAGTAAATCACATGCAGTCCACAAATAATGTGTTTATGCATCGATTTGTTTTATTTATCTAGATTTATCTATATGTCAACTCCAAATTAGACAACATGAGTTAGTCAATTAATTGATTCATGCACTCTAACGAAACTCATTCACACATGAAAATCAATCAAAATATGATTGCATTCAGCATGCAACAATAGTGGAATCTCAGACATACTGTTGAAGGTTTTGGGTCTTCAATATGCCAAATTACCTCTGGGCAACTGGAGATACAGTCCAGTTTTAATTTTACATCTTTTTTTACATCCACTATTTTACAATTATCAAGGCAACTGAAAGAATATAGGTACGTTTTTAGCATAAAATAGATAATCATAAGAACATTGGATTCACATTTTGTTACATAGTAACTTCATTATTGCTTCATAATTACATAGCAATGGACTTCAGCAGTTATTGTTATCACACAAATGGAAATAGGAACAGTGACTATTCCACTTGTTGTACCAGAAACAGCTTACCTTTGTAATAACAAAGCAATTAATACATTATTATGTAATTATTGGGCATTTAATGCAACATTATTATTAGGATAATTACAGCATGCTACAGAGGCATGAGAGCAACTCAATGTAAATGTGACCAATTTACTTCTGAATTCTAATTAAATCAGTTAATTAATATGCTAATGAAATAACCCTGTTGTATACTTAAGGATTACAAATCTGTTAATAGTTTTAACTAAATAATTTCTAACCCGATTCATTCTAGATATTTAGTAACTATATGGCCACTTGTATATTGGACATCATAAATCCTTATGATGTCCAATATACAGGTAACTGCCAAAATAAAGGAAACACTTGAGTAAATGAGGGATACAAAGTATATTGAAAGCAGGTCCTTCCACACAGGTGTGGTTCCTGAGTTAATTACGTAATTATTATTATCCTATCATGCTTAGGGTCATGTATAAAAATGCCCAGTTAACCATTATTTTGGCTACCATGGCTAGATGTAGAGATGTGTGTGTGTGTGTGTGTGTGTGTGTGTGTTTGTGTGTGTGTGTCTCAGTCACCAGATCGCAACCCAATTGCAGACTTATGGGAGATTCTGGAGTGGCGCCTGAGACAGCGTTTTCCACCACCATCAACAAAACACTAAAATATGGAATTTGTAGTGGAAGATTGGTGTCACATCCCTCAATAGAGATCCAGGCACTTGTAGAATCTATGCCAAGGCACATTGAAGGAGTTCTGGTGGCTCGTGGTGGCCCAACACCCTATTAAGACACTTTATGTTGGTGTTTCCTTTATTTTGGCAGTTACCTGTACTTCTCTGAGGATGATGATGATGATGATGATGATGATGATGATGATGATACTAGAATTATTAATAGGCTTATAGGGATATTTGAATAGCAGTTTTTATACTATTGTCATTACCTGTTTTTAAATGATACTGATAGGAGTTATCAATAAAATAGCATGACTTTGTTTAAATATATTCACTTCACTATTTTAAGCCTATCCCCATATTACCTAATTCTAAAGTTGGTGAATTTTGTTGGAGTAACCGTGATGCATCGGGATGTTGAAATCCAGTCAACCCATTTCCCATTCTTAACCCTTCTCTTCACAGAAAAAGTGTATTCAAAGAACTCAAATGGGTTTGGAAGACAATCTTTTTCAATCAAACGAGTCTTGTCCGTTGTTTTATCATTGCATTTCCCCTTCCCCTTACAGTCTTCTTCTATTGGAATTAGAAGGGGAAATGGTTAGAAAATACCACCATAAGGACATGCTGTAAAAAGATGACAGACACGACACTGAGTAAACAGAGAAAAAAACGATTGAGATTGTTATAGAAAATTTAAATTACATTGATAAAACAAAGTTTACAGTCATTGTTTTTCATTTTATAATAGGGTGAGATGAGAGGGTTCTCATCGACAGCCTTGTGGCTTAAAGGCCTTAAGTGGTACTTACTGCATTCCCATTCAAATTTGCTCTGCATTCCATTAGATAGTCCTCCTAAGCCAGTTACCTCAAGTTTGACGCTTTCAGTGTCTTGACTGGCAGTTTCTGGAATGGCAGTGATTCTCAAGTTATAAGCTCCGCAAACTCTCATATGCTTTTCTGTCTGGAGATGAAAACAAATGTGTGAAGAAAAACTGCAGGAAAAGAATTACCATCACATTAGTGAAAAAGGTGCTACCTGTTTAATGTTAAAGAGGGAACAAATATATATTTTTAAATACTTAGCTATTTCACATACTGCGTTTACATAGTCATCCCGCCTGAGGTCTGAACTGTAGTGACAAATTGCTGTTGTGTTCCCCACATCCACATCCATGTGTGAGAAGACATTCCAGGCCCTGACTTTCACTTGCAAATATCCTGTAACAAAACAGCTGATATAAATAATATAAACAAGAATATTATAAATAATCTTTTTTTTAAAAAGGTATCTTCATCTGTCACTGTTTTAATCCCTGATTAAGGTTTGTTGGATGACACTTTGAGTAGATAGGTTAGGTACCTTGGATAGTGGTTGAGATATTGTAAACCTGCATGCTGCTGTTTTGCATGTCTCTGGTCTCAGAGATGCTGTCGTTGGCTCCAGACACCTGGAAGAGAAGCTGCACCGGGGCTCCCCGATCCAGGGAGACTCTAACATAAAGGTCTGAGTCTGGACACTCTCCCTCCTCAGCCATCACTGATCCCAGGAGGCCCTCCACAGGCTCCAGCAGACACACCTGCAGCTCAGTGGACACACCCAAGGACCGAGACCCCGTTAGAGGCATGCAGGGTCAGCTGATGGCAGCCAGAGCCCAGCTGTTGCTCCACCTCTGGTCCCACTGTGATGTTGTGGGGGACGATTCATCTGATTGCTGATGAATTGGCCACCAAAATCTCACCACTGTGGATTTTGTAGGTCACAGTCGTACCTGTAGATAGCAAAGTTGTCTCATTCTACCAAGATTTGTACCTTCGGAATTGTCAGACTGGATGCTTTTATTTTTGCCTATGTTGGTTTTAATTACCTGCTTCTACTTCAACCTGGATTTGAAGGGGGCTTCCGTACAGGGCCTTGCAGTTTGCGCCATCTGTTGGGAGGTTCATGCTATAGCATTTGATGACACCAAACTCCCTGATGGGCTCCTGAATGATGATGTTTTTCTGACCTGTGGACCAGAGACACAGCTTGTTGATGAATATGATTGTATGTTCCAGATGTTAGTCTCCACTCAAGCTTGCCAATGTATTCAAATACAATAACTGAAATGTACCAGACTAGAACAAAGTGAATAGCCTACTTGGGTATTTTTGTTTAGTTTCATTTGAAATGCATCACATTGCATTCTGTATTTGAATTGAATGTATTCTCATGTGTGTTGCTGTATTATTTGAATGTGCCTGAGGGAAAAAATAAAGTTCATTGGCTGATGATGCTGTGCCATTTTTCACATTGTGGTCAACTGAAGATTAGTTGTTGTATAATCCAACTGATAAGAGGCAGAGAGATTAGAATCAAGCAGAGAAGCAGGTAGTACAGGTGTGAAGGTCTGAAGGCTACACAGCAACCACTGCTTCCTATATACTGAGGTAGAAGAAAAATCACTTTACCTAGTACATACTGTAACAGAGCAGTATTAGCTGTGTAGACAATAGGTGACATATACTGTAGGCCTATTTTTGTCACTGCAGAAAGTGCTACTAATAATGTAAATTATATGTGATTATCAATATCGTCTTCATCATTAGGCTGTCTTCCTTTTTAGAATGGAGTTGCACAAAAGCCATTACATTTATGGGAGGGGTATCAGTGCACACTGTTTAGATAGAGGATCATTATTACAATGCCTAGTCTAAATGTCTGCCATTCATACATGAAACACTAGCATAGGTCAATATTTACTACCTTGTATTTCTATTGGTTTTTATGGTTTTTACAACCAAAGCATGTAATTTCAATTGAAAGGCTATATTCAGTGGCTTTGCTTTTATTCAGCTTCTGTGGTTCCTGTGTGACAAGACATCTTTTATGTTGATTACTCAATAGCTCCTTCCTCAAGTGGAATTTTGTTTTAGTGCATTTCCCTCCTTCGCTACAGCTGTGTTTGTTTTACAGTATTAACAGTTCTACCCAGCTGCACTCCTCGCTCTCTGCCTCACAAACACACACACACATCAAATACAAACCAAATTGGCAGATGAAGTGTAGCTCCTGGCTACAGTTGCTTGTTGCCTCCCACTGAAACCCTGAGCTCCTCAGTATGTGACCACAGCCAGCCCCTGGACCAGGGTCGTTCACCCAGTTAGAGTAGCTGACATCAGAGCCATCAAGCCAGGAGAGAGGACCTGAGGATGTACAGCACACACACCAATTAAAGTATTATATTCTATATACACTGAGGGTACAAAACATTAGGAACACCTGCTCTTCAAAGTAGAGGAAATAAAGTATTATTTCCCCACAATATTAGACGTCCCATCTGTTCAACCTGACATGCTTACTTTGTACTATCTAGTTAATTTGATATAAATATGACAGCTTGTGTTCTCATGAGGGATATCAGAGGCATTAATAAAATATGTAAAAAAAAGCAGGATGGAAAGGAAACAAAACTATTAGGTGATATTAAATCAAAGGACTGGACAGCATACCCTATTGAAGACCCTATTGAATGACAAGTGTTCCTCATCAGCCGGGTGCTGCTAAAAGGAGATATTCAAATGGACATGGTCTCCTGGCAATGGTGGGAGATTAACACATTATAAATCTCCCAGCAAGAGGCCAGCTGACGTGGGAGTCAACAAGCCCAGCATCTTAGTCTTAGGTTGGGAGACAGCAGTGGAAATTGAATGGTTTTCTGTACAATTTCTGCTCAATTGCAGAACAATTTATACCTCTTTTAAATATTAGGTCTCATACAATATCTTATTGATTTTATAAAACACAGCTATCATAAATCTGTTCAAATGTATGACTGAATACAATGCATTCTACTCCCACCCTTTGAGATCCTTTGCATGATCAAAGGATCTAATGCATTAGTGTCATCAAATAATGCCCACTTTAGTTGCCTATGCTGCTCTCTTACCTTCAGCAACAGCAGAGTCCAGTGTTAGGTTCGGGGCGGCAGGTGCCAGACCCAGCCACCAGTCCTGCTCTGGCTGCAGGTGCCTCTGTAGGAACTGCTGTGTATCGATATTTAGAATGAAGGCCAGGTGTCCGCCACCCCGCTCACACCAACCCTGTGCACTGACGAAGGAATGCTGTAGACCCACAAACTCATAACAGGAGCCGTCAAAACCCTCTTGGTACTCTGGGCAGGATAAAGCTGCTATCTCATCCTCAGCACAAGACAGGCTTAAAAGCAGAGCCATCAAGAGCAACACAGAGAGATTAGTGCTGTCCATCTTCACCCCTTCACCTGTGCACTGTTACAGGCAGCCTGGTGACATGCTGTCTTTAAAGGGGACTGACATTACAGAATGACCTGTTATGGCTGACTGCCCTTGCTTTGTGAAGTTCCAATGGACACATAATCCTTGTGTACAAACCAACAGACCGCAGGCATCTAGTAAATGGTCTGTAATAAGGTCGTCAGGGAAGGTCCCTGTGTCAACAGTAATAATGGGTGCCTCTGAAGGCTGCCATTGATGTAACACACTGCAGCTTGCAGGTGTAGATAGACTTTATACAGGTTTGGCAGCAACAAACCAATGACCCAGATAAAGACCATCAGAGTTATCAAAGTCCAAAATACCTTACCGACAACAGAGACGCTTTATATATATACCCAGGGGCGGTGTGTTCAATAGGGCGATATGGGCGACGCACTGCCAAACGGGAAAAGGAAGGGATTTTTTTTCTAATCAATTATATCACGGCAACAGTAGTTATCAGTGTTGTAATCTAGACGTCTGATCTGCCACAGTGCCACTAAATGTCCAATCAGGCTAAAGTCGTGCTTCAAATGCCCCCCCCCCCCCCCCTTTTGGGGCGATTTCAGTCAGGTTGAAAATCGCCCAGAAGTCTGTCATAGACTCCCATGTAAAATCTATTTTTTTCAAATATCAGAGCTTTCAATACAATCTCTATGGGTTTCTGAGGGCTTGCACTTACGCGCTTTCGTCATACGTAACATAACCATGAACGTAACTAAGAAAAGAGCGGGTAGCAGCGTCAATCAATTCACTACTATTATCAAAATGGCTAGGCTTCAGTGCAACTCGATTGTGTCTTTGAAAGAAGTTCCTTTTTGTCGGCGAACAAATGAAGATAAATTGGCAACGAAACAATTAGGACCTCCCAGACCAAATTTAATAATTCAACAGGTTTCTACTAAAGGGGGGAAGTCCTACACCCGAGGATTTTCCAAAAATTGGTACGAACGAAAAACCTGGCTAGCAGGCTGCGATGTAGCTAATGCAGTCTTCTGCTACCCCCCTGCTTACTCTTTCACCCTGAAGGCGGCACGGCAGACAGCACCGCTTGGACAGCGACTGGTGTGTAACGGACATGCACCATCTTTCAAGAAAGATTAAGAAACATGAGCTGTCAAAGACCCACATGGATAGCTGTTTGAGATTGTCTGCTTTGGGGAGAGTGAACATTCCCACTCAACTGGATGAGGGATACAGGCTAGCTGTCCGCCGCCACAACGATGAGGTTAGTGTTGATAATCACAAGTTTACTGGAGAACTGAAACTGACAAGGCTGACAAGATAGGACCCTTTTGTCCATTGTTATTGGATAGGAACAGAACTGATAACCAGCTCCTGGCCTAAATAGATCTTAGCACAACATTTTACTCAACATATCATATTCCATATTCACTATAACAAATATATTTACTACGACATTAGCAAGAACCGCCACATCCTCAGCCGGCTAATCCAGTGTGTGAAGTTTTTGAGTTGGAGTTAGTGTTTGAGTTAGCTTTGCGAGGCAAAGATGAAACTGAGGGCTCCACCAACCCTGGTAAGCCAACACTTTTGAGATCAGTCAATAAATGCTTCTGGTATTGACTTATATGCTGCCCCTGTCTTCATGTTGTTGCTGGACATATCTTTTTTTAAATGTGTGTAGGTCACCTAAATCATCAGAAAAATTGCCCCCCCTGAGAATTTTTTCAGGAGCCGCCACTGTATATACCACATATTTAAACTTTTCAGGGCAATCTGTAGACCAATAATTTTGTTGATCAACATTGGTACTGCTGTGAACTGTAAGAGGACTTTTAATTAAACCACTGACCCAGACAGTGGCCTTGTCTCCTGACAGTCATGTCCGACTCTTCTGGAATTTTGACATCCTCAGTTGTAAAGGAAGATACATGTGTTAGTGTGGTGAATATGACAAGTCTTCTGTCTGTTTTGACTAATAAGAACATGTCTCTTTTTAGGAGCTGCGTGTGAGTCATTATCATGTCATTTGGAATGCATTCAGTTTTAGCTCCCTTGTTTCTATTGTGTATGAAAATGTAATCTAATGAAAGAATGTTGGTTTATATGGCACTCTAGACCAGGTTGTCCCATACTCGGTCCTGGGGCCCCCCTGGGTGCACGTTTTGGTTTTTGCCCTAGCATTACTCAGCTGATTCAAATAATCAAAGCTTGATTTATTTATTATAGTATTATATGATGAGTTTGTTATTTGATTCAGCTGTGTAGTGCTAGGGCAAAAACCAAAACGTGCACCCAGGGGGGCCCCAGGACCCTGCTCTAGACCAGCTGTACTATGTGGTAATCAGTGATAGTAGAATTGACCTCTGTAAAACCATAAACCTATATAGCTAATTATGTGCACAGATAAAGGCAAATAAACTTAGGTCCAAAGTATAGGCCTGCTCTACATTTTCCAATTGACAAAAGAGAATCCAGGCCATGGTGGATTAATGCATTTTGCATTTGAATACATTTTATAAACTCCAAGGAGTTTGTGGGATTAAACTCAAGTTGCCTAACAGCATGTCAACATGATGCTTAATAGGCTACAATAATTGCACTGAGATAATAATAACAGAACATATTAAATGTGTTATTCCCAGATGCCTGAATTTGTGTGGCCTTATCGTGTGTTTAAAGATAACGGACCTTATCCGTGTTTGAAATACTTTTTGCACAGAATTGGCATTTAGATAGCAGTTAGTTTCACAACAATTTCTCTGGTTATCTTTTGCAAGCATAGTTGAAAAGGCATGTGTGTGCGTGCGTGCACTTGTGTGTGGAGTGTGCATACTAGTCCATGAGCCAGGGGGTTCGGTCGAGCTCACTTGGGGTGACGATGTGTTTAAAGGTCTACGTCCCTAGAGTTGGAAAATGTGTGATTGCAGTGCAGCAATTGGAGCTTTCTCCAGTTATCACTCTTTCTTTCATCCCTCAATCCCATTCATTTTCCCATAAGGATTTTACCCTATGACAAACAATGCTAGTATACAACAAGTTATTGCTCACGTATACCCTTTAATCATATATAATTGGAAAGCTCAATTTTACAGTTGTCCATTTTCGGTATGTTCAGGTCAACAGAGCTTCGACCAAATTGTGCCATTAACATTAGAATGTTGGATGCTTAGCTATAGAATTCCATGTAGTGGGGCAACTATGTTTTTGAATTGTACAGTGGGGAAAAAAAGTATTTAGTCAGCCACCAATTGTGCAAGTTCTCCCACTTAAAAAGATGAGAGAGGCCTGTAATTTTCATCATAGGTACACGTCAACTATGACAGACAAAATTAGGAAAAAAAATCCAGAAAATCACATTGTAGGATTTTTAATGAATTTATTTGCAAATTATGGTGGAAAATAAGTATTTGGTCAATAACAAAAGTTTCTCAATACCCTTTGTTGGCAATGACACAGGTCAAATGTTTTCTGTAAGTCTTCACAAGGTTTTCACACACTGTTGCTGGTATTTTGGCCCATTCCTCCATGCAGATCTCCTCTAGAGCAGTGATGTTTTGGGGCTGTCGCTGGGCAACACGGACTTTCAACTCCCTCCAAAGATTTTCTATGGGGTTGAGATCTGGAGACTGGCTAGGCCACTCCAGGACCTTGAAATGCTTCTTACGAAGCCACTCCTTCGTTGCCCGGGCGGTGTGTTTGGGATCATTGTCATGCTGAAAGACCCAGCCACGTTTCATCTTCAATGCCCTTGCTGATGGAAGGAGGTTTTCACTCAAAATCTCACGATACATGGCCCCATTCATTCTTTCCTCTACACGGATCAGTCGTCCTGGTCCCTTTGCAGAAAAACAGCCCCAAAGCATGATGTTTTCCACCCCCATGCTTCACAGTAGGTATGGTGTTCTTTGGATGCAACTCAGCATTCTTTGTCCTCCAAACACGACGAGTTGAGTTTTTACCAAAAAGTTATATTTTGGTTTCATCTGACCATATGACATTCTCCCAATCCTCTTCTGGATCATCCAAATGCACTCTAGCAAACTTCAGACAGGCCTGGATATGTACTGGCTTAAGCAGGGGGACACATCTGGCACTGCAGGATTTGAGTCCCTGGCGGCGTAGTGTGTTACTGATGGTAGGCTTTGTTACTTTGGTCCCAGCTCTCTGCAGGTCATTCACTAGGTCCCCCCGTGTGGTTCTGGGATTTTTGCTATCCATTCTTGTGATCATTTTGACCCCACGGGGTGAGCTCTTGCGTGGAGCCCCAGATCGAGGGAGATTATCAGTGGTCTTGTATGTCTTCCATTTCCTAATAATTGCTCCCACAGTTGATTTCTTCAAACCAAGCTGCTTACCTATTGCAGATTCAGTCTTCCCAGCCTGGTGCAGGTCTACAATTTTGTTTCTGGTGTCCTATGACAGCTCTTTGGTCTTGGCCATAGTGGAGTTTGGAGTGTGACTGTTTGAGGTTGTGGACAGGTGTCTTTTATACTGATAACAAGTTCAAACAGGTGCCATTAATACAGGTAACGAGTGGAGGACAGAGGAGCCTCTTAAAGAAGAAGTTACAGGTCTGTGAGAGCCAGAAATCTTGCTTGTTTGTAGGTGACCAAATACTTATTTTCCACCATAATTTGCAAATAAATTCATTAAAAATCCTACAATGTGATTTTCTGGATTTTATTTTCTCAATTTGTCTGTCATAGTTGACGTGTACCTATGATGAAAATTACAGGCCTCTCTCATCTTTTTAAGTGGGAGAACTTGCACAATTGGTGGCTGACTAAATACTTTTTTTCCCCACTGTAACTTTGGTGATAGATGAACCAAATTTCACACACACAGCTAGAAAAGATTTGTAGATCTTCCATTAAGGCCCCAAATAGTTATTTGGCGGCCTTATTTAAAAAATGTTTCTGTGGGGTTAATGCCTGAATCCTCTGATGGCCCTGTATCTACAAATCTGTTTAAAACCCTGTTATAACCCTGTTCTATCACCAAAGTTA